GCGGTTGAATGGCGATTTCGCCCTGATTGCTGCACATAGCGGGCTGGGCACTGGGTGTGGGCGCGCTTATAATGTGGTTGGCAACGGGACTTACACTCAGAGGGGAGTTTATGGGCCGTGTGACAGAGCGAGCAGAGGGGGGACACGCGCACGGGCTCGTGGGCGTGTTTATGTTCTCTGCTACTGGAGCGGATAGTGATCGCTCTGTGAGAATGGGCTCTGTGTGAGACCCGGGGCATATGGTGCTTGTGTGTATACGTGAACACATGCTTGTGGGCACATTTTTTACACTTGAGGCTTTTATGCTCTTTTTGTGAACTCTCTGGGTAGCCGTGAAAACGGCTTTTAGTCGCTCGCAAGCGGGCAGGGAGACCGGCTTGATTGTGGCGGTGAACTCTACTGTAGTCGGCGATGAGACGGGGACTAACAGTGGGCGAAGCTTTGACGGCGGTCCGGCCGCAGCGGGAGAGAGCCGCCTTTTTCTCAGCTGTGCTAGGCAGACTTCTGTTGATCAGGCTTCAGCGCGATCTTGGGTCGAGGCCCCCGGGGAGGAGGCTGTCTGCGGCGGCTGTCAGAGCGAGAGCGAGGGCGGCCGCCCTGTCTACGCTGGGGCTGCTGAGCTTGCTGAGGCGGGCGCTGATGTGGGGTTCTGGCAGGTGGCTCGTGAGAGCGGCCTGCCGAAGAGCTAGCGCGGCGGGGCAGGAACAAGTTCATGGCCTGAGTCGCTTTCTGTACCTCGGAGAAGCGGTCAACGATGCCCATGCCATGACAGCAGATCCGAAGAGACCGGTCGGAGAGATAGGCGCGTTGAGGAACACGGCGCGTTCTGAATCTCCCATGTCGGTAAGCGTGAGCCACAAGTGTCTCTCAGCGACACAGAGGGCGGCCATGCATTTCCCCAGGGCTTGTGCGGTGGCTTTAGTGGCGCGAAGGGAAAGATCCGTAGCGCTTCTTAGATCCGAGAGGATGGGCGGGTTCCTACCGCTGTTCGCCATCTCGCACAAGATGTCGCTCTGGAGCACTTGGAGGACTGACATGGAATGCAGCGCTGAAGCGGCCTGTCCGGCGGCAGCATAGGCGCGAGCATGAAAGTTAGAGGTCGCTCTGCACGCTTTAGAAGGAAGCGTAGGGGAAGAACGCCATCTAGCAGAGGGCGGGCAAAGATGAGCGGCGACCAGGTCCTCGACGGGCGGCATGGCAGTATAACCCTTCTCGGCGGCTCCGTCCACTGAGCGCAGCGAAGCGGACACATCAGAGCGGTTACGAGCCGAAAGAGGGGCATTCCAGGACTTAGTGAGCTCGTTGTGTAGCTCAAGCAGGAATGGTGCAGCCCGGCTGCAGGCGGGGGCCGGGCGCCGGTGCAGGAACTTCCCATCCATGCGGTTCGGTTGTTGCTCGGGGGGAGGAGACCACTCGAGACCCAGGCGGTTGACGGCCTGTGAAAGGAGGCGTGTTAGTTCCTCCTCGATGCCGGCGCGGGTCCCCGCAGACTCTCTCGTCGATGAGCCAATCGACGACCAATCCTCGCTGTCAGAAGCGTGCAGCGAACAGGAGTCCTTCTCATCCGCGGTGTCGTCGGAGGCGACAGTGCGGCCACTCGGCGGCAACTGTATGTCCGGCTGGGGCGGAGAGGGAGAGCGGTCGGTGGGCGGCGGCCTGCATGGATCCGCAGGGGGCTCCGGCGGCCTCTGGGAGCGGCGTTGTTTCTTCCGCGGCGAAGTGAGAGGTGGCGCGGGAGCGGTTTTGACCGCCTGCAGTCGTGCCCGCAGGGAGGACAGAGGCAGGTCCTCGCAGTGGTCGCATCCTCCGTTGGTGAGGGCGAGCTCTGCGTGATCCACTCCGAGACAGAGAACGCAGATGGGGTGGCGGTCTCCTTCCTCGAGTGAAGAGCGGCATGAGCCGCAGGAAATTCGAGGCATCTTGAAAAAGACGCTCGGCTCTTTTGTGAAAGGTAGAATGGAATAAAGGATACACGTCGGATGGCGCTAGCTTGCTGGGCGGCTGAAGGTGGCAGACGGCCGGCTTACTCAGACTCCGGAGCTCGCTAGAAGATGCCTTCTCGACGACGGCGGCTTCTTCCCAGGACAGCGGATGCGTGTAGCTCGCTGAATGATGAAGAATCGACGAACGAGCCTGGGAGAGCTACCTTTATACACTGTAGCCACGCCCCTTTTGGCGGGCTCTGACGCAATGAGCGAGCGCCGTCCGCTCATTGGCCGCGGACTCAGCGCCGCTCTCCCATAGGTTCGTGCATTCTCTCTGAGCGAACCAATGAGCCGCTAGCTAGCCCGCTCATGGTCTGCCTCAGAAGAGACTGCGTTGACAATGATTACAAAATTATGGAATAATTTTTTGGCTTTAACTTCTCAGCAAAGATGAATCTTTCCCGTAGCGTAAGCTAGCTTACGCAATACGAGAGAACCTCTCGTAAGAGAACTATGTATTTATTATCTCTATGCTTTTGCATTCTGCACTTTCTTTTCTCTTGAGGCATAGACTGCATAAAGCCTAGTTCACACTACATGATTTTAAAACGTCGGGCTGTACTGTGCAGTTCACACTACATAACTTGCTCTCGGTGAAATCATGAGTGTTCAAGTTGTTTAGCTGTTCACACCACACAACACAACGTGATTGATCCACAACAGGAGGTAACTCACTACACGAGTTAACAACGCACTACATAGAGATACAACCACGATCGGATGATAAGAGCAAATCATTTGTGACTCAATGAGAGCTGTTTCAGTACTATGGTACGGTCTAAAACCTGAAAATAATCAAACAAATAACGAGTTGACAACAACACGATTCTATCTGGTCTAGAAACCATGTTTTGTCACGAAAAACCACGCAATAAAACGAACCAGAAATGACGCGAAACTGCAGAGAAGAACACAACACGCGAATATGGATGTCAGACAGAAACGTGCTGCACACTGTGTCCTCAACCCATGCGTTGCTATGATTGGCTGTACTCATGACATCACTGAGATTGAGTCGCGCGACTGCTCGAGATATCTAGCATGCTAGATATTTTTCTGAGCTCAGTGACCTGTCTGCGAGGTGTCTGCGAGCTGTCTTTGATGCGTTGTTGGCTCTTTCACACTAACAGATTGGCGAGCGTTAATCGTCCGCTAATCGCCCGCGATTTGCACGCGATAACACCCTGACTTGTCGGTGACTCAACGATTTGCAAATCGGGCTTAAATCGGGCTTAAAATCACGTAGTGTGAACTAGGCATAACTGACACACGTAAATACATGTGTGAGAGTTCAGTCCGCCTATAACATTGGTCCCACTTCGGATGCCACAATGCCATCAAACGGTATCTCTGGTCTTAATCAGTCCTTCACTGACCAATCAGCGTCCATTAGCAGAATGCTAGCGTGTTATGGGCAACAACAACTCAACCTGTAAGAAATCGAAAGGACATAAGTACTCGTTCATTCAACTTTCGACCTATAACCCATTTTGGACTTGCAAAACCTACATTCAAATCTGAGATTTCTCAATGATAATCGGGTGAAAGAGACAAATTTAGCCGTTAAGCCCTATAGACTCCCATTTGATTTGGACTCGGACTATTGCCCCCAGTGGAACTCTGGTGGAACTACAACCAAAAATTCTGTACAATAGGTGGTTTGCAGTCATGTGATTGTGTTGACGCGCGGAACGCAGATGGAGGAAAACCATACTGTACTACTTTAGACGCTATTACAAGAGAAATATATAAACAGAAAATTGAAACATATGTTGGACGTGATCCTTATGTTATGAAGAGGACCGATTTTCAACTGAATTGAGAGATTTGACTGCCCATTCGGCTCCTCCCGACCGCAGATGTAGGTTTGCAAGGCATTTTTCCTGATGCTTTTCTTGTCAATTTCATGTATTTTCCCCCCTTATGAACAACAACTTTGTGCACACGATAAAAACTCCTCGGGGTTTGATCGATTTGAGCAACCATAAACGACGCAAAACATAGGCATTTTGAGTGTGTTATAGTGGTTCCTAAATATAGAAAATCACTTCCTGCCCTCCATCTGCATTTCGCGCCATGGCAAGGCAGTGGCATGACGTCAGGTGAAAACAAGCTACTTAAAAGGGAGTGGCCAGGCATTCCGTAGATGGGCTTTGGTGGGAATCATCTCTTCACCACAACGGCATAGACCTCCGATTTCCACTTATTAGCGGCAGCTGACATCTGCTTTTATTGGCAGGTACGGTCAGCTGTCAACGGCAGCTACTTCCTGCTGCCAGATGCCGATTTTTCGCTGAACCCCCTCTCATCACAATCGACCGAATGATTACGTGGTCAAAATTCCTGTCTTTTTACACTATTGTAAACGGGTAGTTAAAAAAATTTACACGAGTTACGACGCATTGCATTATGCACCTGACCTGCCAGCTGGTGATGTATTTATTAGGCTACAAACACGAATACAACATACTTGGACAAATACATTGATTAGATTTATTTAATAATATTAGTTCCATATTATTTTTACTAAAAAATAAGAAAATCAGTAATTTCGTTTTTTTTTTTTTTGACAGCATCCTTGTCAATTACTAAATGTTTACTGTTTGATTTATAAATTATAATAGACTGATGGGGGAAAAAATTGCTGTTACTTTTTTAAAATTGGTTTTATTATTATTTAACAATCTTGATTTTTGTTGTTGTAAAACCTTTATTTTAAAAGTTAAATGTTTATATAACATTTAGAACTAATAAAACCTAGCTACTTCTGATATATGTGTAGCCTATTTCATATTTCATAATATATATCAATATTTTTTCAGAGGGCCCCGAATCCTCAAGCTACGACATGTTAACACACACCCAGTGTAGAGAGACAGAATCATTCTTTGAGTTGAATAGAGCTGATTAATTAAATGGTAATTGGAGAGATAATGTCCATGATCAAAGACATGACTGTGATAATCCAACGCCAGGTGGCGCAGTGAGTATTCTGCACTGCCATTTATCATTAACTGAAAACTGATTTCAATAGTTCATATGAGCTGCAGCTCCTGCCAGATGAGAGCTCAATCATGATGGTTTCTCATCGTTTATACTGGAAGTTGTGGATGTTTTGGTGTTTTGGTGAGACCTTTTAGAATATAAAATGCTGTTTAATGCTCTTTTAGCAATTCATTTTGCAACTAACGCAATCTTATATCCATAGGACAACATTTAGGTCAAGTTCTGCAGTTTTCTGATCCGACTAATGGAGAAGTGGGAAAAAGCGTGAAGCTCGCCCCTGATAACCCACCCTCATCCACGTCCATTTTTAGAACTGAATGGTTATTTACAACAAATCTTATTATTACAGCACAATCTGGTGAAACTAAAATATTCCCTGCATATGAAGAGAGAGTCGAGTTTGACATCAACACTCTCTCTCTGACGCTGCAGAATCTGACACTGGGTGATTCTGGAATATACACACTCCGAGTAACAGCTTTTGCTGGAGGTGTTATTGAAAGAAAAACTTCACTACAAGTGTTCGGTGAGTGTTTTGCTAAAATTTGATTCAGCGTTTGATCATAAATTAGGCTATGTATAGGCCTAAAAGATTAAAATAAGGGGGTGTTTAATAGTCTAATATGAAAGATTTAAAAAGAAAAAAATAATTGACAGTAAACCGATGTTTTAATGCCATTAACATTGGCTAACAGTGTAACAGATAGCGTTAACGTTACTAATGAGGGTTTTAAAACAGCAAGTTAATTATATTTCAGATATGCAACTGCTTTTATTCGCAATGAATTGGTGTTTGGCTGGTCCCACACTTGAAGACTTTTAGCCCGCTTTTAAGCCCAAAGTGTGGGGGCCGGGGCGAAACCCGATTCGGCTTCTTGCAAACGAGTTGTATCTAAAAAATCCTCAATTGTGTGTGGTGTCATTACGATTATTTACCTGTTCCCGATTGCTTCGAAGCCTACACGATCCCAAATTCTCCTGATTTGTTTTTCTTCTCAGGCCACGTTTTATCTGATCTCGCTAGTCTCCATGTTTACTACAATCACAGGTGGTCTCGCAGTCCTGACTCTTGTGTGTGCATTCGGAGGATTATAATGCTCAAAATCAGAAACTACCTTATGTCTGTGGACTTTGGTCTCCCAAAGTTTTAAAAATGGTTGCGATTTCAAAATCATCTGTGTCCCAGGCTTAAGACAGTAAATCAGACATGCAGAAGGTGCTCCCAATAATGTGCTCTGGTCCCACTTAATATTAAATGTCTTTAATGTACTAACATTCAAGTTAATCGTTTGACACAATCCACTCAGTCTGTACATTAATGTTTTTACTTTGTACATATTTATTAAAATACCTTCATGTTGCTGTATATTTATACTAGCTACCGACCACTCCCTTAAAGGAGAACTCCGGCGAACAATGAACCTTTGGTCTAATAAAATAACGGTACCTAGTAGGGGTTTCATCAACTAGTCGACTAGTCGACTGTCACAACCACTAGTTGGCGCTGTTGGCCTTAGTCGACTAGTCGGAAACAAAATGATGACATATATTTTTTTTTTTTTTTGTTAACTATCCCTTTAAATACAAGCGGCAGTACTATATACTGTATAAGCACTATAAGGCGCACCTTCAATGACCTATTTTAGAACATTTTTCAAACGTTTGACTGGGTTTGCATTATGCATCCACTAGATGTGCTAAAGGGAATGCAGCGAGTGCGCGGCGTCGGAGGTGAGGCGTTTATTTAGTGAGCGCGCTGGGGCGGGCACGTAACTTACATTCGCAGCCTGCTGACAGCAGTGTCTGTTCGTGTGTGTGTGTTAGAGAGAGCGCTCGTGAGCGGGAGATATTTTATACGAGGTTGAACTGGCCGTGTGACAAAGCGGGCATAAGATGGACACGAGCGCGAGCAATTGATCCATAATGCGCTCCGGATTATAAAGCTTGAGAAAAGGCCGGATTGAGAAAATTAAAGGCTTTTAAGTGCGCTTTATAGTGCGGAAAATACGAGTACTACTCTCGCTTTTAGACCAGCACGCGACGTGTTTAATATAGACGCATATTAGCCTACACCAGATGTTCTCTCAAATGTTTGCTTTCACTTTCTATATGGGGAGGCTGCACTTTAGACATAGCCAATTCTGTTTATGTAAACATTGTGTGTATTTAACAGTATTAGCATAATAAGACTTGAAAGATAACTTAGTCCAGTATTCAGGCGCTGTTTGACAGGCTTCTAATGCATGTGAGCGTCGGGGATATGCCGCGCGCTCAGGAAAGCGCACGTTAGAACAGCGCGTGAAATAAATGTTTAACCGGCAAGACTTATGCAAACAATGAACTTTTGTGAATTGCAGTGTCCCGTACCTATTCCTTAACGTGTGATGTGAAGGCTACGTCGCGTTACAGTTGAGAGGCGCCAGAACTGATAGAATGCACTGTAACACGATACTACTACTACCATATTTCTTCAAAAGCAGATCGTGGAGACATTTACTATTCGTGTTGTCGCACACCCCTAGAATAAACCATTTAACGACTAGTCGACTAGTCGTCGACTGTTATGCAAAACTAGTCGACTAGCAAAAATCAGTAGTTGTGAAACCCCTAGTACCTAGTCCATCGTTCTCTGAGATTTTTTTTTTCATGATAATCGAATGTAAAGAGTTTTATCTCTAAAAACTGTTTAGCGTATAATGCTAGTAATGGGGGCATTAACTAAGTAAAAAGAAATCGCTAGTTTATACCACTAACAAGGCTCAAAATAGCCCCACACTTACACAGTAACATAATGAGGGTCCCTACGTGCGAAACGAAACATTGAGAACTTTACAAGTGTACAGACCGTTTAATAAGAAGATACTTTATGAAGACAGTCCACTTCGTGTACAGACAGGAGCCATCTTAAAAAATAGTCTCGATAAGGGTAGTTTATATAGCTCATTGGGTTAGTTTACCCCAAAATTTTGTCAGTAATTTCTCACCCTTATGGTGTTTCAACCCTGTAAGACATTTGTTCGTCTTCGGAACACAAATTGGCTTTATGCCCAGCTGCACTACTTCCTGAACTTCAGCCAGCTCCTTGTTTCCTGTCTGCCATTATTGGCCAAATTGATTAATTCAGGTGTGTATGATTATTGCTGCCATGACTACTGAGGAGGCACACCTGAATTAATCAATTTGTCCAATAATGGCAGACAGGAAACAAGGAGCTGGCTGAAGTTCAGGAAGTAGTGCAGCTGGGCATAAAGCCAATTAAGATATTTTTGATTAAATCTGAGAGCTGTCTCACTCCTTCATAGGCTGCTTTAGTCTCTTTTCATCTCTCCTTCAAAGCCGTTATTTTTGAGTTATTTTCGCATAAAAAGTATTCTTGCAGCTTGATAAACTTAAGGTTGAGCCTTTATAGACTCTTGGACTATTTTAACAATGTCTTTACTAACTTTTGTGGGCCGGCAGAATGTAATTACCTAGCAGCCTATGAAGGAGTGAGACAGCTCTTAGATTTCGTCAAAAATATCTTAATTTGTGTCCTGAAGATGAACGAAAGTTTTATGGTGTTGCAACTACATGATGGTGAGTAATTACCGACAAAATTTTCATTTTTGGGTGAACTATCCCTTTAACCCGCCCTTAAAGGAGAACTCCGGCGAACAATGAACCTTTGGTCTAATAAAACATCGGTACATAGTCAACCGTTCTCTGAGATTTGTTTTCATGATAATCGAATGTAAAGAGTTTTATCTCTAAAAACTGTTTAGCGTATAATGCTAGTAATGGGGGCATTGACTAAGTAAAAAGAAATTGCTAGTTTATACCACTAACAAGGCTCAAAATAGCCCCACACTAACGCAGTAACATAATGAGGCTCCCTACATGCAAAACGAAGCATTGAGAACTTTGTAAGTGTACAGACCGTTTAATAAGAAGATACTTTATGAGGACAGTTCACTTCGCGTATACAGACAGGAGCCTTCTTAGAAAATAGTCTCGATAAGTCGAACCACGAACGCCGTTCATACCACAGACATCATATAGGTAGACGCCCTATCGACCGCTACTGCCTATTGGCACGGACGAGAATTGGCCATCTTTAACCGGTCATCCGCTCCGCTCAGTGTAATCTGAATGGCAGGTAAAATGAGCTGTCAGCGCATTAAATTAATCATATCTCACTGAATACTGAACTGATTTTCACACTTTTTTTTTTTTTTTTTTTTGCTGCAAAGGTCATTCATGTAGCTATGATACAGGACACATGGTTCGGCGTATTTTAATATCCATTGTAGGTTAACAGTAATATAATATTCTGATACAAGATATAAAGACACAATATATGTGATGAATGATATAATGTATTTTATAAATCACACACTATAAATATAATAAAAAAGGCAGAAACAGATAGTAGCGGTAAAGTAAGATATTTTAATAAGTTGAAGAAACAGTTTATGATTGATACACGCACATACACACGCACATACACACGAACAGACACACACTCTCTCTCTCTCGCTGTCTCTCTCTCTCTCTCACTCTCTCTCTCTCACACACACACACACACACACACACACTTTCACACACACAGAACGCAGCCACCGAACGCAGCCACCTGTAATAAAAATTGACTTGAGACGAAGCTTTTCAGCGTGTTTGCATCAGTAACGTTAATTTCTAAAAATTAAATTCGGACAACATAAGCCTACCTTTTTTATTGTATGTGGATGTAGGAGGGGAAAATGTCGAGACTAAAGCCCTATTCGGATTAACTTTACAAGGGTAGATGGAGTAAGTTAATGTAATTTTACCACAGGACTTCTGTAATATCAATAGCCAAATCGCATGTGGTAAGATATAGGTTATCAATAAAACTAGAAGTTGGAGAGGTAACTCAATTTGCGTATCACTGTCATGCGTGTATATTTCGTTGCTTCCTGATGTGCGCAAACACAAATAACCTATACAACAGGGCAGTTGAATGCTTATCTGACAACCTAGAAGCTCTTGTAATTATTACTTTAAAGGGTTAGTTCGCACAAAAAGTATTCTCGTCGCTTGATAAACATATAGTTGAGCCACGGTAGTCACTTGGGATATTTAAACATTTTCTTCATTGACTTTCTGGGCCGTCAAGAGGCAGTCCCTTAGGAGCCTATGTGGTAGTTATACAGCTCTCAAATTTAATCAAAAATATCTTTATTTGTGTTCCGAAGACGAACGAAGGTCTTACGGGGTTGGTACAGCATGGGGGTGAGTAATTAATGACTTAATTTTCATTTTTGGGTGAACTAACCCTTTAACAGTTAACCCACCTCTCCATGCCGGGTGAACACCGGCTGATGCAGTAAACAGCATTTCACAACGATTTCAGTACAGTAATAGAAAATGTCCTTCCTCCTTCGATTATCTGGTAATATTCTATTCACAAAATACAACCAATAGTATGGTAATGTTATAAGACTTACTTGTGAAAAGCCTTATTTTCAGTGGTCCGGCGATTAGAACAGGAAAATGCTCCACAGTGCTCTGGCATCTTATCTGCTGCCACGCAACGAAACTAGGAATACGACCGGTTCAAGATGGCGGCCGGATTTCTCGTTTTCCAGTGGCCAATAGGGTATCTAGTCTGTATATGATATCTATGGTTCATACAGTTCAGATCCCGCAGCACGACATTCGTGGTTTGACTTATCGATACTATTTTTTAAGATGGCTCCTGTCTGTATACGCGAAGTGAACTGTCTTCATAAAGTATCTTCTTATTAAACGGTCTGTACACTTTCAAAGTTCTCAATGCTTCGTTTTGCATGTATGGACCCTCATTATGTTACTGTGTAAGTGTGGGGCTATTTTGAGCCTTATTAGTGGTATAAACTTGCGATTTCTTTTTACTTAGTCAATGCCCCCATTACTAGTGTTATAAGCTAAACAGTTTTTAGAGATAAAACTCTTTACATTCGATTATCATGAAAACAAATCTCAGAGAACGGTTGACTATGTACTGATGTTTTATGTTCATTGTTCGCCGGAGTTCTCCTTTAAACCTAACCATATGGCCAAACCTGTTCCTAACTTTATCTATATCCCACCTCAATAGCAGCAAAAGTGTTTTGCAATACAACGTGAACACATGAATTCTTACAATAATTTTTTTTATGTAAGTACAAAGTAGAACACTATTTGAGATGTGACAAACTTATTGACAAAGGAAAAACACCCAAAAGTTAACATTCATCATACAAAATTCAGAGGTTAATATAAACAAACATTTAAAGACTAAACACCTGTTAACATTAGTAAACTATTAAAGGGTGTACTTTTGTATATAGTTGGTGCTGCCATATCACGGTTATTTGCAGTCATAAACAAAAACTATTCAGACTGCATAACAATACTAGGTAGGAGTGCACTTTTAACTGTAAATTGTAATAATAATAATAATAATTTTCAAAGATTCTACATGCAAAGATGTCGGTGTAGTGAATGGGATGGAAACATTATTCATGTTTGTTATGCAACTGACTAATATTTATAGGAACCAGTCATTTATGGAAATATGAACAACGCAAAAGCACAAACTCTTTTGCTATTTTTACAAATGTCTATTATAGTATATTTGTTCTTTCTCTCTCATTTACACAGAAAAAGTATCTAATGTCAGGCTTATTGGTCCAGAAGAATTATTAATAGAGGGCAAGTCATCTGCTAACATCACCTCTGAGGGAACTGGCAACATCACCTCTGTGGAGTGGATTAAAGATAACAGTCCTCTGTCTCCTAGCAACCGCATCATCTTCTCACCTGATAACAGATCAGTGTCCATCAGTCCAGTGCAGAAATCAGACAATGGGGAATATCAATGTACTTATAGAAACCCTGTCAGCTCTGAAATGGCAAAACTCCCCCTGACCATCAACTGTGAGCGTTAAACATTTAAACATCAAGATGATTTAAGATCAAAACTGATAAAATAGACATACTTCAGTGCTGTGTGTTCCTCTAACAGTGAGTCTCTTGTGTTTGTTCTAGATGGACCAGAAGATGTTTCTATTAAGGGTCCGGATGTGGTGGATTTAGGGGTCAGTGTGTCTCTGTCTTGCTCTGCAAATTCTAAACCTTTTGCCTCATTCAGCTGGAGGTTTAATGGAACAGACACCAATGTGACCACAGACACTTTCACCATAGCTGAGACTGACTTCACACACAGTGGAGATTACGAATGCACTGCCTCGAATAATGTCACAAAGAGAAGCAACTCACAAAGTCATGCTTTACAAGTTGAAGGTAAAAACCTAAAACTAACCAAAAAATGTTTTGTTGCATTTTGAGAACCAATACTTTGATCTTAATTTACCTATTATGGCATGTTATATATTTTTGTAAATGTTTAAAAAATAATAATAGGTACTTTTATGAAATTTTGTATTGCTTTAAGTTTCTAAGGATACAATTATCTGCATAGGAATCTGCTACATAAAATAAATAAAATGCACCCATTAGAAAGACATTAGACAATGCATTTCATATACCTTCATACTGCATGCTTAATTTTTAGTTTAGTTTTGGTACAGGTGCATTACAGTAAGTATTGTGTGCAGTACATGATCTGTTGTTTATCTTTATCTTAGTAGGTGGTGGAGGAGGAGGAGAAGGAGGGGGACTAACAACAGGAGCGATAGTTGGGATTGTCATTGGAGTTTTAGTGCTTGTTGCAGGCATTTGTGGTCTTATTGTCTATTTAACAAAAACCAAGAAAATGTGAGTAAAACAATCTGTTTCTGAATTATGTGCAATAACATTGACTTTCCCTAAAATATGTCATTATCTATGTAGGTCTGGTTGTATATGGGTGCTAGTAGGTGCTAAGCACCCTCAATTAAACGTAAGAGAGCACCCTTAGTTAAAGGGGCGGTAAAGAATGATTTCTCTTTTCCAACTTTAGTTAGTGTGAAATGTTGCTGTTTGAGCATAAACAACATTATCAAAGTTACACTGCTCAAAAAGCAAAGGAAAAGCATTTAAAAATCAAAGCAAAGGTTTAAAGCAAAGGAAGATATTTACTTTTTAAAAAAGGACTACAACAAAAGGCTGGTAGGGACTACACGACATTCCTCCCGGGTTAGTGACATCACCAACTCTAAAATGTACATGAAGTCCACCCTGGGAACATGCAGTCCATGTTGAGAAGATGAAAAGTTGTTGTTTAAGAGTACATTTGTGAGTCAGCTCAAACTTTAGCATCCATCTTTTCACATGCAAAAGAAAGTCACTCTGTGTGCATCTCACAACATACGAGTGATATATAGATTACCATGACAGAATATCCCAATTGAAGATAGTTAACTTCACATCAGCAACATAAATTTATTAACTAACCATTCAGAGACATCCTGTTGTATTCTACATGTTGTGACTTCTTCTTGATGCTCTCCGTCTTTGACTGACTCTGTTTTAACATTAAAGGGAGAACAGTTTCTGTCATTTTAGTGTATCTGCACAGAACCTGGCTAGCGCTTCCCAGCCCGTCTCGCTGGCTCATCCATACCATCAGACTCAGATATGCGATTAAGTTCGCCCAGCATCCCCTGCCTTCACCAGGCAGAGATTGCAGTCGTACTGGCGAAGGACGCAATTGAGCCCTCCAGCCAATATGAAGACTGACTTTTTTAGCCCGTACTTCATTGTACCCCATAAAAGTGGTGGGTTACGACCTATCTTGGACCTGCGTGTCCTGAACTGGTCCCTTCACAAGCTGCCGTTCAAGATGCTTATGCAGAAATGCATTTTCAAGTGTATCCGTCCCCAAGATTGGTTTGCAGCGATCGACACAGACAGTTTCTTCGCTCTGTGTTCAAGGGACGGGCATATCAGCACAAAGTCTTACCCTTCGGGGTGGGCTGGCCCTGTCGCCCTGTCTTTACAAAAGTCGCGGAGGTGGCCATTGCTCCCATGTGCAAGCATTGTGTTCATATCCTCATCTACCTTGGCTCCTGGGGCATATGGCATCTGCAGTCGCGGTAACACCGCTCGGATTGCTTCATAATGAGGCCGCTCCAACTCTGGCTCCACGGTCGAGTCGAGCCGAGGTGGTCGAGGCAGAGCGGCTCGTGCCGGTGGGTAGCATGAATCGTCAGAACACCGGATCCAAGTGACCACACACTGTCACCAAACTCTTAGCTTGTCGTCGGGCCCTTCGTTCCCACGGGTAGGTGTTTCCCTAGAACAAGTGTCCAGACATTCTATGATCTCCACGGATGCCTCTGCCACCGGCTGGGAGGCCATGTACAATGGGCATGCAGCTTCAGATCTGCCAGATCAACTGCCTTGAGTTGTTAGCAGTAAATCTTGCGCTGGGCCGCTTCAAAACGCTGCAGAAGCACCCTCAGTGATTTAATTCTGAATCTGGGCCTGTATTTATCTGATAATTAAAGAATTTCAGTATAAGAACTGTAATAAGCTGCTTATTTGTGAAGCAAAAATGTAGTAAAAATAAACAACTTATTGTAACAAAATATGTTTGGCTTTACACTACAGACCAAATCTAACCCTTCACAAAAATGGACGGGCAAGTGGAGGTAGGTTTATTTATTCATAATTTCAACACAAGTTCTGATTGAAGCAACACTACTGACTTCACCAATTATAGCAAGATTGACGATTATACTGTCCATCCCAAAACAGATTTCAGATAATCTATTCATTTTACAGATGATTCACAACATTTCTCTCAGTATGAAACTTATTAAATGTTTCTTTCTTTAAACAGCACCTGCAGCACAAAGCAGACAAGAGCCTGTGAGTGACTTTCAAATTTAGTTTTCTCCTCATCACAGCCATTTTTACATTTTATTCTTTGTATACCTGATTTAAAAATTTAAATCTGAGGTGAAATGGCACATTACAAACACTTAAAGGTGTGTTTTTTAGTGGTGTAGTAACTGATATTCAGTTGTTCTGCCTCTTCTGTCTCTTGACTCTTTTATCTCATATAGGTAATTAAAGAGTGTATGGCTTTTATAGCAGGAAGGATGAGTGTATTTTAAAAGTCAGTTCAAAAGAACTTTAAGCTTTTAGAAATGACCGCTGTGAACTTTAGTTATTGGCTTATATTCAGTAATTTTGATTATCATGATCATTTTCACTGTTTAAAAGTGACACTTGTTTTTTAGCATTTACAAATCAGCAATTTTTTCCACATTTGTTTCACCTAAATTGACACCATCATTGTGTATGACTTTGTAATTTAATAAAAATAATTGACTATTTGTAGGAATTGAACTATGCAGACATAAGCCATTTTCAGAAGGCTGGTGGAGAGAGAGTGATTCTGGGGAGTAGTAGTGAGCCTAGTACAGAGTATGCAGAAGTAAATCCTGGAGCCAAGTCAAAGGCTCCTCCACCTCCCTATGGAAGTCAGGTGAGTAGTTTCAAATAATAAATGTAGCCCATCCCGCTGTAGAACACCATATGTGTACTTTAGCTGCAATATAACTGTAATGCATCATAAAATAAGTGCCATTTATTCTGTCCTGGCTGCAGCCATGCAGTAAAACAATATGGTCATTTGTTTTCTTTCTTTTATCATATGCTTGTGCAACGTCTCCCTTCAGGTATCAAACCCTCCTCTGCGCAGGTGAGGAAGTGAAGACACTGAAATCTACTGCACTGAGTCTTCCAAATATTGCACATTTACCACATTGTTTTGTTTCTTGAATTTAGCTTTATTTTGCTGAACGTTGTTGTGTAATTTAAATATACAATTTTTATGATAGTTTTGAATGCAAGTTGACCTGTCAGGCTGTGTAATTGTTCTATTTTAATAATAATGATAGGAGAGAGAGGGGAGGGGAGGGTGGTAACACTTTTTGCTTCAACATCTGTTGTTCTGGGCTATTCATCTTAAATTTTGAAACAATGTTCCCAAACATATCTGATATGAATTGATATTGTTTTCGAAATGTACAACTTGTTATGAAATCTCTCTATTGTGAAAAATAATGTCACATACAAAATTACATTACAACATACTATCTACAGGAGTGAATTGTAACAGGATACGTGGGGTGCAACGTTATAGAGAAAGCATGTATATCTGTTTAAATTTTGCACACTCATGTATTTATTTTTATTCAATTGAACTGAAATAAATGACTGAACACATAAAACATGGCCTTTCGCCGTTGTCAAATATCAGCTTATACAATGTCCAATTTTGTTACAACCCTTTCCAGCTCAGAGATGACAGTTCCAGTCAAACAAGAAGCTGTGGATTCAGATGAAAAAGGGTCCGTCTATTAACATACATAAACCTTGTCGCAAATCAAATTAAATTATAACTTGTGACTCACACTTGATAATGTTCCAGATCATTCAAACGGAAACTGCGAGAAATTTTCAGAACAGAGGACTGTGTTCTGCTTATGTAGATTATTACTCTTATGTAAACCATCTATTCACATTGTTCCTCTAAATGTTGTATACATATTGGCTAATCTTTAGCTACCACTCCAAACAGTTTCTCGGAAACCATCAGATACATCCTCATTCTTTCTATCTTGCACTGGGAAAATAAAAGATCTGTGATAGTGGGTTATTCAAACAGAGGCTTCGAAACTAAATTCACCTTTAGACCTGAACACAATGTCACACTGGGGAAAAGAAATGAGGAGGAATTTTATTCTTGTCATAAACAGTATGAGCTTTGGTAAAATATATATATATATATATAGCTGGTATTTCTATGGCAGTTTTATTTTCTGATTGCTTAACTTGTTCATCATCTTTACCAAAGAATGTGCTATAACTAATGTTTGTTATTTATAATTTATGTAAACTTCAATGACATTTGACAGTGGAAGTTAATTTGCTTTAAATAAAGAGTTTATTTCTTGCTCATTCTACCTTTTGTTTATGTTTTTCAGTATATTCCTAAGGTCACATACTTTATTTCCCCCTCATGGTGTGATAACAACCACAACTGATATGATTTATTAAGGCAGATGTAACAAGTTAAACTTTAACTTTGATTGTGTGTTTTATGTTGACGAGTGACCTAAAAAGTATCTTGGATGAATTCTGAACAATATAGAAGGTATATATTGTATGCCTTATTCATGCATAATGCTATTTCAGTAATAAACTAAAGTTAAAACTTTTTTTACATGAGTCTTGTTCTCATGTCATACTCAAAAAGAAATGGCAAAATAAATTACGAAGGTAATTTCACATTAATATATTAACATTTTGTGAAAGTTCCTCTAATTCTTTAATATCAGTTAAAATTACATGCATGTGCACTGACTTGACATTTGTTTCTTCCTCTTCTTTTCCCCCTTGAGAAATATGTAAAATCATTTCCTTTCTTGCCTGTAACTCTGAACCGCATTGATATGACATAACTCTTTATTTCTAAATTCATTTACAGATGTTAAATGTGTAACTTTTCTTGATACGAAACATACAGTAAATACAGAAGAACAACTCTGTAGTTATATTGTTATGGTGGTTATTGCATGTTCCTGTAAAACAAACTGTCTTTGATAGTTTTACAGCATGCTTGATAATAATCATTAGTCATTATAATATAACAGTCCCCATGAAATGTGGACGATGGGTACACAAATAATTGTTTTGGCATAAAATTTTAGCATTGTGCCTTGTGATCATTGTGAAATTTTATAAATAACAGTCAAGTAGGTTATATGCAGTATGCAGTCAAGTTACTTTCTGATGACATTTCTGAACTACTGATGAAATTGTGGCCACAAGCAAAACATGTTTCACTAAAAATCTTTTCCTGGATGAACATCTTTGACACCTAGACTTTCATTGCTTTGAATAGGCTTTCACGTCTCAGGTCTCCACACTGCAACTAGTTCAGAGCTGCAGACCTACAAGGACAAATTACCCACTGCTGCCACCTGTTGTTTATGAAGTGAGAAATTGCTGTTTACCCAATATTTTTAATCATTGGGCTTAATTCCAGCCATATTTAATTGAAAAAAAAAACAACAAAAAAAAAAACTAAAAGGGATCTGGGAAGTGTGGTGTCATCATCAGTATCCATAACCTCACTGTAATAATTTATAATGGATCATTATTGCATGATATTTGTGATAATAATCGTCACAAATATCATGCACAAAAAGCACAGCATTGTGGGCCTCCAAATCAAATTCTGCTTTGGCTCGGGCCGGTGTTCTGACATTCCATCCTACCCGTCAGATTGTCCTACCAAGGCTTACTGCGCATGCGCACATCAATAATACGTCATTTTTGTCACGCTGAACAACACGCCCATAATATTTTACTACTTGCGCGAGATCTTCTTCATCTGAGATAAGTTTTTCACTATTTTTGTCAATTATTACTATACAAAGATATATAGCAGTAATGAGAACTGTTTACTCTCACATTCATACAAAGCAAATTCATATTAGCATTTTTTTCATGAAAACATTAACGTAAAATCATTCTACTCGTTTATTTCATACTGGTAGGACAATCTGATGAGGCATTTTGCAACGTAAAATCATCCTATCGTTTATTTCATAGGACAATCTGAAGAGGTAACGTTACTTTGCACTGTAAAATCACCGTAACATGGCCTAATAAGAAAATTCGGCAAAGTTACACAGAAATATTTTATGTAACTTAGTCACAGACGCGAAGCAGAAACGCTCAGTAGGATTTTACGAGGTAGGAAGAACCGATAGATATGGCTATAGTTTTGCGCTACGGTAGGAAAATCTGACAAGGTAGGACAGATCGACAGAACACCGGCTCTGAAACAGTGTCTCTTTGACATAGTGACAACAATGTCTTCTCTAATGCCAGCTAATGCAGCTCAACCAGGTCCTGTCCCCTTTTTTGCATATTCTGGACAGAGATTATTTAAATGGATGAGGATTATGACTTCATAAGATCCAGAAAAATTGCATTGTAATCCATGCGAGCCTATAGGTCTTAAAAAGGGGATTCTGTTAAAATATCTCCCTTTGGATTGGACTTTAAGTTTTGTAACCTTGCATAGGGGAGAGCGGGGCACAACGACTTTCTCAGTTTGTGTAAACCTACTTAGGGTTTAGAGCAGGCCTATTTATTTTTCCCACATTAATTTCCCACATGTCTAGTACAATTATGTGGTTTTGTTTTATTAATAGAGTGTGTCTTGTTTCTTGATTTATCCTGAAAGAATGGAAGTGAAATGTGACAACATGCCCCATAGGTGGGGTGCATTGTAACATGGGCACATTGTAACATCACCATATAACAGCTTAAAATGCTATCTGATCTATAAAAAAAATATATAGTCAACCCAAAATATTGTCTTAATAAAATACAATTATTAACTTTTTCATGTAAAATAGGCTAATGGCGTTTTTTAATAGGCTACTTTAAAAAACAACAACTAATTTTTAAGTTTGACAACAAACACGGGGAAACACAGCTCAGCATATGTTCAAAACAATATAATAATTAATAATTTCTGAACATTGACTCTCAGTCTTTATTGTTTCTCACGTTCTCTCAATAGAATTCAAGTATAGAATATAATAGCATGTTTCTAATAGGGGCACATTGTAAGTCAGTGTTAGGTTACAACAACTGCACAATGGGCTCTATGCACGGCGGTATTTCCGGTGAAGGTTTAAGGATGCTCGATAACTTCCGCCGATCGTAGAGTTTTTTTCTCTATATAGTGTTGAAATGGCAACTAACCAAGATCATCATGCTAGCGCGCGTGGAAGCATTTAAAACAAAATATTAATTGTATTGATTACGTTATCTTTACGTTGTGTAAAACACTTTACAACATTTAGAAAAATCGGCCTAACAACAAGACAAACATTTCAACAGTTCCTTCTACTGAAAACTGAAGCCTATGATTCTCACTACAATAAGATAATAAAGGCGCAAGATGGCGCCAGTTGCGTTTGTATGAAACAAGGGCGTGTAATATGTAGCCTACCTGTATTGAGGTGTGTTCGACATCGCCTGCGGCTGGATGCAACCGATCGGCGAGAATAGCCGCGTGCAGGCGGAGAGAGCAGCAAATGGAGACGTGACGTCGGACAATTTCTGGTTCCCGTACTGACGGCTCACGTGGTGTTTGCATGCTTTACCAGCTTAAGTGAAATAAATGCAACATTTGCCAAATAAACAGATATTTCAGACACATTTTCATTCAACACTTTACTGCTTCATTATAGCATCTGTTTGAACTAGAATAAAGTTCAAAATAAGCCTATAATCAATGACGTTTTATTTTGATAAACATGATAAACATGACACAATATAACATTGCGACTACATGAAAAGAGTGTTTACTGTTATAAAATACTGATTTGTGAGCTTTAGTGGAACTACATAGACATATTCACTAGACCTCACCTGGGGGTTCTAAGCATGCGTCAAAACCGCCGCCATCTTGGAACAGGGGTCTTGTCATAGGAAGTAGCTAGGTAACGCTGCTATCTCTGCCTTTACTTCGAATTCATTGATGGTGGCGGACTTTTGTGCAGCGTATGAAGTTCACGGATGAAATCTGAACTAGGAAGAATGTTTTAAAAAAAAAAAAAAAAAAATTCTTTCTGGAATCAATGATAAATACATGTCAGACCGTTGGAACAAACCAAAAAAACAAGAAAAATCGCATTCATAATGATTTATGGTGATTTTATTTGCGTTAGACCTGTGTCTACTACATTGACACTGATGCATTAAAGTGGAGGGGCTCCCCTGTTTCAAGATGGCGGCTCTATTGACGCATTCGTTCTAATGAACTGCCGTATCCAAGGTGAGGTCTAGTGTATATGTCTATGGTGGAGCTAAAGGTGTGAAACGCACGTGATCGTTGTCATGCGGTGAATCCGGCGAATCGTGGAACAGCTGTGACATCATCAGAGCTCGTGCAGCCGCTCTTGAGAAGCTGCGCTGGCTGAGTCCTCCGGCTTCTCTCGTATCGCTCTCGCGGTACTTTGATGGCATACATCACAGTCACGTGGAGTCAGCGCTGCATCAAGTCGGACAAAATTTCTAACCGGCATGCACTGTTTCAAGTCAGCCGCCGATCGGTCTGCGCAGAGCTGCATGAAGTCGAACAAGCCCATATCTATGGGTTTAACCAGAGCCATGGCTCTGGGTTCAACTACCTCGATGATGAGTGGTCCAATCAGAATCGATGTAGTATCGATGTAGATCATCCATGTAGTAATATTCTCGTCCAGCCTTGAGTGAGTTTGCGTTGTTTCGGTGTTTGCATTACAGAACAAACCTTTTATTTATAGGCGTAGAGCATTGGAAATGATATGAGTGTCTATCCTAGATAGAATCAACAGATGATTTTGTCTTAAATGATGCCTTGCGAATGCGATATAAATGCAAACATAAGTAGACAAATATTTCCAGACAATGTTGTTCAAGGTGGCTGGTCTAACCCAGCTTAAAAAAACAGGCTTTGGTATTATTTGTTCTCAGATCACTTATTGAAGATAGAATTGTCCCTCTTTGGGTATCATTTTACTGACTTTGTTTACTGACTTTGTGGTTATCACACAATAAGGGTGCAGCATATAATAGGCTACTATTTATTCCTACTACTGGTTATGTGAGAGAAGGTTTAGAAACTGGCATTGAAGACCGGTCTCATCCCAAGACGTCATATAACTGACGTTTTGGGACGTCTTTTGACCATACGTCAATATTCGCCTTTTTAGGGCCCCCTTAAACGTCGGTAGATGAGGTTATGGGATCCTAACTCTACCCCATACCTAAACCTAACCCTAAACCTAACCCGTCACCTAACTGACGTTAAAGGTAAAGCGTCAGTTGTATGACGGCCCGGGATCGCCATCTACCGACGTTTAAGGGGGCCCTAAAAAGGCGGATATTGACGTATGGTCAAAATACGTCCCAAAACGTCAGTTATATGACTTTTTGGGATGAGACTGTGTTAATAAAACAGTGGTCTCAAACACATGCCTCGCAGGGTGATATTTTGTGGCCCCCTGCTACTTGATATTAAAGTTTAATGTCATGCGGCCCTGTTGTTGCATGTGCCGCGTCCCCCCCCCCCATTTATTTATCCTTTATTTACTTATAGATAGAGTCTCATGACAGCTTACGGGGGTTTGTTGTCAATAGTTTTCAAAATGTTTGTGAAGTACAAACATAGGCCTACTGCGATTGGAAAAAAAACAAACTTGAGCGCGCAAAATATGTGAGCACGATATGTGAACAGGACACTTTGCGAGCGATGTGTTGGAGGTCCCTGCTCTAAAACAATGTGAGAATAATCATTTTGAGTAATATGTGTCCAACAGGTTGATAAGAAGGTTTCCTTTGAATTGTGCAAAATCAATATTTTGCCTGAGACACTAAACATGTGTATAAAGCCTATTCAGTAAGATGGGCAGCAAACATGACTGCAAATATTTGTATTTCAAAATCAATAATTGTTTTTCTAAGTATAAGGAAATGTGTCTTTCAGAAAACATTCAATATCATGTTGTGTTGTACAAAGAAAATAAATATTAGTAGGCCTATCACAAAGATTTGTTATAAGGAAAAAGAATGTAAAATGAATTATTACAAAAATGTTGTGCATAGGAAAAGACAAAGAAAGTTTGTCAGAAGGACAGCTTATGAAGAACCAATCATGTACAGAAAAGAATGTCCAAATTTAGAAGAACAGTTCAGAAGAAACGTTAATGATGAAGATTGAGAAGAATGGATCAGTTGTGCTCCTTTATTGGAATATTTGTTACTATTACTTTAATAGTAACAAATATTCAAATAAAGGAGCACAACTGATCCATTCTTCTCAATCTTCATCATTAACGTTTCTTCTGAACTGTTCTTCTAAATTTGGACATTCTTATATATATATATATATATATATATATATATATATATATATATATATATTGAATAGGCCTACTTGATGCGGCCCAGCCTGACCCAGACTCTGCCTCCAGTGGCCCCCAGTTAAGTTGAGTTTGAGACCCCTGCTTTAAAAAAATAGTTCACCCAAAAATTTAAAAAAAACTGTCATCATAACTTTCTCATCATGTCATTCAAAACCTGTATGACTGCCTAATTTTCATTGTCTATATTTTATTATCATGCAAATATGTCAGTAACTTCAATATTGTCTTAGCTTATTCATTACACCACTCACAAATCAGTAGCTGAATCTCTGATTCTCATTTTAACCGTGGTTTACTGAAATGAAAACAAGAGAAAACACAAAAACATCAATGAGCACATACAAGAGAAACTCAGATCTGTTTGCTCAAGGTGAGTAGCAGGAGGGGTTGCAGACAAAAATACATTTTGAACAATTAAAGCACTGTGACACAATGGATTATCTGCCAGTTTACAATGGAAACGGCAGTTAGGGTTGGGAACCGAGAACCAGTTCTTACTTCTGGTTCTTACTTCAGAACTTCTTTCTGAGATTGTGCTGCTAGTGTAAAATAGGGAAATATGTTTACTTTTAAATCGTAATATATTTAGATATAGTAAGTTCATCACTACTGGCGTAAGATGCCCTCCTATCACGGGCAAGTCTTTTGGCAGTCGTTGTCATTGTCTAAATCTTACACAAAGGTCTAAAATTAAATTCTCTAAAAAAAAACTCTAAATTCTTTTGACTGAATAAATGTTGATATTCAGAAGAAATTAAAATATTATAGTGTAGCCATTTACCATAAGAAATGACTGAATTGAGAATGTTTGACTCTATATGGTAAAGAGAAAAAAATGAATATCATCTTGCCCTGGGGAACACCTCTTATACCCTATAAAGGCTATATGTTAAATATGTACTATAAACAAATGATGTGGTAGTATCTCGCCCTGGGGGTATATTTACATAAATATGATTTCAAATAAATACGAGTTGTCTATTGATGGTATTACCAAAGACAGATTGAGGATTAATAGGATCACACTAATAAAGGAGTGTCTCCTCACATCAAGGGGGTCCCTGGTCCGAGTCCTAACTGAGCCAGAAGATCTTTCTGAGTGGAGTTTGCTCCAAGTGTTCTCCTCGTGTTAATGTGGGTTTGTTCTGGTTTATCCTACAATCCAAAGACATGAAGGTTAGGAGAATTAGAGACTGTAAAATGTCCTTAGATGCGAGTGAAGGTATGAATGTGAGTCATTCCTGTGATGGACTGTCCATCTCTCCAGGGGTTTCCCTGCCTACGTCCCGAGACGCTGAGATAGACTCCAGAATCCCTGCCACCCGAGAATGAATCGATATCTTACACCAGTACTCATGATTTGCATGCCCAATTTATTTGTTATCATGTTTAAATATTGGCTCTGATCAAATGCATGACTAACTTTTCTATGTATAAAAAGTTTTATTCTTATTAAAGTGTCTTATTAAGCCTTATTAAAGTTTTCTTCTCATTAAACTTATGAGATTCATTCTTGGGCGTGTCAGTGCTGAACCTGAAAGTCAGCCGAAAAGCCAATCGCAAAACAAACAGTGATTCATGATTTTCATACTATTTTTTTTTTTTTTACTGTAACAACTCATGCCAGTGTGAAGTAATCTTTTAGAACGCAAACAAAATGTTGTAATGTTAAACATAGCTTTTCAATGACATCAAACCGGTGTTCGGTTTACATCTTGCACTTGAGATAAAAGTTTAATATGGTATGAAAACATAGTGTAAATACTCAGAACTTGACACCAGGAGTGACGTTGGAAGGTGTGAATGAAAACAGCAAACTTGAATTGTCATCATGAGTCTCCCCATGTTAATATCAACTCTTGGGGTTGATAGTCCACAATTTTTAATAACTACACATCTTTTTCGACCACACCAGGAAATATTTAAATACATATGGCTTGACCTTCGATTTGTGACTTGAATGTCAGCTGGGTACCAGCAGTCTGAGTGCAGATTACAGTCAACCACAACAAACACCGTCACTCAAGATGATGACAATGGGTGTACCTTTTTGTCAGATGCTTTCTCATTGGAGAACCTATTGATATAACAAGGTAAACATTGGTAGAGTGAAAGTATAATGGTGATTACTGAATTTAGTTTCAGACTCATCTGAATTCTGTGGAAGAAGTAAAGTATTTTCTAGTTAGGATTTCCAAAATGGGACATCAATTACTTGCCTTCTTCCTCGCCTTAATCTGTATTCCAGGTATTTATGCAATTGTATTTTCATTTTCAATTGAGTTCTAATTTCTTTTTTTTAAGAACAATGCAGAAAGGAGATCATTTGTTACTGTAAATGTACCAGTTTTACAAATTTACCAAACATTGTATTTGACAGAATGTAAATGTCATTAAATCTGTATTTTTACTTAAAAAAATCATTAGTAATCTTCAAATTCTGTATAAAAGGAAGGTCAATTTTAAGAAATTATCAGTAGTATATACTTTAGTAACAAATACCTCTTTATATTAAATGTATATATATTTTGGTAACACTTTACAATATGGCCTCATTTGTTAACATTAGTTACTGCATTAACTAAACTACACTCTAAAAAATGCTGGGTTGTTTTAACCCAATTTTGGGTAAAATATTACGAACAAAGTAACAACGAACAAAATATTTTTGCAGCATTTATTAACCTTTGTTAATGTTGGTGTTCATGTTTATGTTAGTGTTAGCTCACAGTGCATTAACTCATTTTTGCAGCTTTCAATCTTAAATATGTATTAGTAAATGCTGAGCTTAAGAAGAACTAACAACAAACCATACTTCTAATGTATTTAATAATCTTAGTTGATGTTAATGTTCACAAATAAAACCATATTGTAAGGTGTTTCCTTTATTTCCAAAAACTTGGAGTGAAATACTGTTATAATGTACAGTGCTGAATATTCAACTTGTCTCAGGTTCTTCTGATTATTAGTATTACAAGAAATATATATTTGTATATTTGAAGAAATCTACATTTGTGGATACAGTGACGTTACCCCAAAATGCCAGAATGAAGTAGATTAAAGTTCCCAGATTACACATAAACATGTATGAATTACATTAGCAATAGCAATGCTAAAGGGTGATCCATATAATAATTACATATTACATGGATGCTGTTCATTAGTACACTTTAGTGCCTATGAGTCCTTTTTGCTTCTACAAGCAAGAACATACTAAATATCAAAAAACCACAACTATGGAAACAAGCAACGAATATGCAAAGGCTACATGTAAATCAGTAGACTTATTTCCATCACAATCCAAAAGAGTTGAATATTTTCTTACTTTATATGAATGTTTTCCGGAAGTTTTCTATGTTTGAAATGATACTGACTGGCTCTCCTGCATCTCCAGGTCTTTGTGCAGTGACACTGGTTCCATCACAAAACCCTGTGGCGGTCGGGAGCAATGTCACCATAAGTTTGAAGGACCCCATCGACATTACAGTTGGGAGCTGGTTGTTTCGGTCTGGTACAATGTTCATATGGGTAACACCAAACATTTACCGGGGTAGTAGCCACCAAGATGGAATATTTTTAAACATCACTACTTATCAGCTCACCTTATTGTCAGTAACTCTGAATAGCTCCGGCTTGTATGTATTGGAGGCCTTGAGTCCAAACAGTTCCAGAGCGGATATTACATTAGATGTTCAGGGTAAGTTGAATAAAGATCTTCTTACCTATTTACACTGTAAAAAATAATATATTCACAGAACTTGTATTTAGTGAATTTATGCCACGAGTTTTTCATTGTATCAGCTGCCTTCACATAAAAAACCCCTGTAGAATAAGAAAGCTGTAGTTTATTAAGCTATAGAATTGAATGATTTTAAGTCAATTCAGTGAAGTTCAATTATATATTTTTATATCTTGAAGAAAAACATTTAATTTAGATTTTACCACATAAAGCAAATATTTAAATTGATCTATATAAGAAGATTTCTTGTATCAAATGTTTCTTAAATTCTATACAAAGAAGTCCACTGTTTTATAGACTGTTCCTTCAATGTGACCACCGAATCGTTTAACATTCAAAATATTCATGATGGAATAATATAGCCTAAACACTGCCAACCAAAACAACAGACAGAAAAAAGATAATTGAATAATTATTTGTAAATAAATCTTTGGCTATTTTACCAGAATTATCTACTACATATAATTTGCTTTACATTTGTACACATATATTTTCTGAGGGTATATTCAAAACAAACATTTGTGCACAATGTTCAACATACTTTTAGCCGCTTACGCACTTACAACACTTACACTCCCTGCCAAAAATTATATTGCGTAATATTTTCATGTGGTTACTTCATGCTCTTTAAATATACAAAAAAAAAAAAAAAAAATTGTTTATTTAGCCTATACTACACCAACATGAACCTGATAACAGCAACAGTTTACATGTAGGCTACTCTGCATTGAATAAGTCGGTGAACTACAGATGATTTTGTTGAGGGGATGCAAATTAAAGAATGGACTGATGATGGGAAAAGTAACAGTCTATACTATTGGTAAATAATAGGTAAGCTTTGAGCTTGCAGAAACTCTTGTACTAAAACATTTTCTGTTATCTTGTAGAACCTGTCAGTAATGTTACTGCAGATGTAAGCAAGACAAACCTGGTGGAGTATAACGACACCGTGACGTTCACGTGCCACGCCAGCGGCACTCCACTGTGGTTTTCATGGCAGAACGGCAGCTCTGCAGTCACAGCGGGAGAAAGAGTTCAGCTCAGCAACAATGGACGAAATCTCGTCATCAGTGGTGTGAGCCGGTACGACGAAGGTCCCTTCAAGTGTGTTGTGGTAAACAACATCAGCAATGGAGAGAGTAGTCAAATTAATTTCACTATAAGCTGTGAGTATATAACAGCACAAAGTGTCAATTTCACTACATTTTCCTTAACATGTTTCAAAAGCTCAATCTGAATTGGTTTCATGTGTTTAGATGGGCCCAGTAACCTAAGAATTACAGCCTCGCCAGACAGCATGGCATTGTCTTCTGGTTCGGCCATGTCTCTGTCATGCTCTGCTGAGTCCAAACCAGCAGCTTCTTTCTACTGGACTTACAACGGCAATCCTCTGAATGTCTATAGTTCGAGTTATAATCTTAGAGACACTACTGTGAACATGACTGGACTGTACACCTGCGTTGCCCAAAATGAAGTCACGCTCAGATCTGCTGCAGTGACAAAAACTATTCGTATAGTTGGTGAGAACACTCTCGAAATATGGTTGTATACATTTCTTATGCTTGATCTTGTGATCTTTTTTTATCACCAATACATTGTTGTTTGTTTATTTAGACCCAATCTCAGCAGTGTCAGTGAATCCATCAGGCTCTTCAGTAGAACACATGCCTTTTAATCTAAGCTGTAATGTTGTGGGGACAGTGGACTCCATTCAGTGGATGAAGAACGGGGTGTACCTGTACGCCGACAATACGACCACTTTTTTCAATGGCAACTCAACCTTGAGTTTTAAAAAACTCGCTCTTAGTGATGACGGACTGTACCAGTGTGCCGCTAGTAATGCTGTCAGCAACACTACCATCCAGGATTACAACCTGATGGTCAACTGTGAGTAGGATAGATATTTCGAGAACATCTTTGTTTCCTATGAATACTGTATAGATTAAGATGGGGTAAGATGCCACCATAAATTTCTGAAATATTAATCTGGGCTTTTCATCTGGGATTTTCAAAAAGTTTTAGTGTCAGATAATATTGAGCTGTTAATTTATTTTATGTTGGATCTTTATAGTTATTATTCTAAGAATTGCTCAAATCTTTGTGTACTCATTGTTAGTTATGTGTATTACAATGTTAAAAATAGTGCACCATTATAACTTGAAACAGAAAGTTAACGCAATTCATGTATTTACTAGATGGCCCAATCAACACTACAGCCTCTGGTCCAAATGTAGCCGTAGTGGGATCCAGCGTGACATTCAGCTGTTCCTCTGTCTCTCGTCCTCAAAGTCAATACAGCTGGCATTTCAATGGTTCAAAAGTAGCAGATGGCTCAGTGTATGTGACTGCAGCTCTCAATAAAAACCACAGCGGACTGTACACCTGCATGGCCTTCAATAATGTCACAGGCATTAGCAGCTATGCCTCAGTGCAGTTAACTGTACTTGGTGAGTCATTCAATTCAGGACTTTGCTAAACTGAAACTAGCAAATGTGTTCGTTCTAAAGTGTGTTTTTAAAAACTGAAATGGTTGTAAATGTGGTTTATATTATATATATATATATATATATATATATATATTATTTTTTTTTGGTATGAAATTTAGCTCCTGTCACCAATGTTATGGTTAACATGGCCAATCAGCAACCAATCTTCAACCAGTCCTTCACACTAACCTGCACTGCCAGTGGAGATGTTGAGCACATTCAGTGGATGAAGAACGGCATGTTCCTGTATCCTGAAAATGGAATCACTTTCTCCAATGACAATTCCGCCTTAAGATTCCAAAATCTCTTTCTCAATGATGACGGACATTATCAGTGTAAAGCAAGCAACGCTGTCAGCAACTCAACCAGCCACGCCTATGACCTGATGGTCAACTGTGAGTAAAAAAATATATTAGTAACATGTCCATTTGAATCATTGTACATGGGAATAACTTTCAATGTAAATGCAATATTTCAGATGGTCCATGGAACCAGACAGTCACAGGCCCTCTCATTGCAGCGACTGGGTCCAGTGTGACCTTTAACTGTAATGCAGTCTCTCGTCCTCAAAGTCAATACAGCTGGTTCCACAATAGTTTAAAAGTGGGAGATGGTCCAGTGTATGTGACTGCAGCTCTCAATAAAAACGACAGCGGACTGTACTCCTGCATGGCCTTCAATAATGTCACAGGCATTAGCAGCTTTGCCTCAGTGCAGTTAACTGTACTTGGTGAGTCATTCAATTCAGGACTTTGCTAAACTGAAACTAGCAAATGTGTTCGTTCTAAAGTGTGTTTTTAAAAACTGAAATGGTGGGAAATGTGGTTTATATATATATATATATAATTTTTTTGTATGAAATTTAGCTCCTGTCACCAATGTTATGGTTAATATGGACAATCAGCAACCAATCTTCAACCAGTCCTTCACACTAACCTGCACTGCCAGTGGAGATGTTGAGCACATTCAGTGGATGAAGAACGGCATGTTCCTGTATCCTGAAAATGGAATCACTTTCTCCAATGACAGTTCCACCTTGAGATTTCAAAATCTCTTTCTCAATGATGACGGACATTATCAGTGTAAAGCAAGCAACGCTGTCAGCAACTCAACCAGCCACGCCTATGACCTGATGATCAACTGTGAGTAACAAAAATATATTAGTAACATGTCCATTTGAATCATTGTACATGGGAATAATTTTCAATGTAAATGCAATATTTCAGATGGTCCATGGAACCAGACAGTCACAGGCCCTCTCATTGCAGCGACTGGGTCCAATGTGATCTTTAACTGTAATGCAGTCTCTCGTCCTCTAAGTCAATACAGCTGGTTCCACAATAATTTAAAAGTGGGAGATGGTCCAGTGTATGTGACTGCAGCTCTCAATAAAAACGACAGCGGACTGTACTCCTGCATGGCCTTCAATAATGTCACAGGCATTAGCAGCTATGCCTCAGTGCAGTTAACTGTACTTGGTGAGTCATTCAATTCAGGACTTTGCTTAACTGAAACTAGCAAATGTGTTCGTTCTAAAGTGTGTTTTTAAAAACTGAAATGGTTTGAAATGTGGTATATATATATATATATATATATATATATATATATTTTTTGTTTTTTTTGTATGAAATTTAGCTCCTGTTACCAATGTAATGGTTAATATGGACAATCAGCAACCAATCTTCAACCAGTCCTTCACACTAACCTGCACTGCCAGTGGAGATGTTGAGCACATTCAGTGGATGAAGAACGGCATGTTCCTGTATCCTGAAAATGGAATCACTTTCTCCAATGACAGTTCCACCTTGAGATTCCAAAATCTCTTTCTCAATGATGACGGACATTATCAATGTAAAGCAAGCAACGCTGTCAGCAACTCAACCAGCCACGCCTATGACCTGATGGTCAACTGTGAGTAACACAGATATATTAGTAACATGTCCATTTAAATCATTGAACATGGGAATAATTTTCAATGTAAATGCAATATTTCAGATGGTCCATGGAACCAGACAGTCACAGGCCCTCTCATTGCAGCGACTGGGTCCAATGTGACCTTTAACTGTAATGCAGTCTCTCGTCCTCAAAGTCAATACAGCTGGTTCCACAATAATTTAAAAGTGGGAGATGGCCCAGTGTATGTGACTGCAGCTCTCTCGCTGAACGACAGCGGACTGTACTCCTGCATGGCTTCAAATAACATCACAGGCAGCAGCAGCTACGCCTCAGTGCAGTTAACTGTAATAGGTAGGTCTTTTTGTGGACTGTCAGGATCTTTTTTTAACCCAATTATTGTTGTTGTTGTTTTTTTTACATATGTAAAGAGATCATTTGAAAACTCATGAAAATTTTGCTTACATAATATAGAAATTCTCTCTTCACTCATTTAGTTTGGAAATCAGACTACACTAAGTTGCACTGTATATTTTTGATTCCCTAAAAATTACTGATTCATACGAGTCATTTGATCGAGCTACACCAGTCGTACTGTAAGTTTTTTATTCAACTAAAAGAACGGGCTCATGAGAGTCATTTGTTTGGGGAATCACACTACACTGGTTGCACCATATGTTTTTGATTCACTAAAAAGAACCGGTTCATCAGAGTCAGTTGTTCTTGAATCGGACTACACTGTTGCAGTGTATTTTTGATTGTTTGTATTTTGTAGCCCACAGGGACAGTTCAATAGAAAGCAATTTATTGCTAAAATGTTGCAGTAAATGTATTTTTTATACTATAGCATCACATTCAATACAGAACACAAACTAAAAATCATTAAAATGAAAATAATTCCAATGAAGACTACTGTTAAAAGCGACCCTAGAAGGTACATAATCACATTATTTACAACAAGGTGTGGTGGACTAATATGATATTCTGTGCACTCTACAGATGCCATCACTTCAGTGGTAGTGACCCCTGATCGTCTCAATCCTCTGGCTTCTCAAAGTCTGCAGCTCAAATGTAATGTGATGGGTCCCTACAACAAAATCTACTGGCTTAAAGACAACCAGAATTTCCAGCCATCAGACGGAGTTACTTTTTCAGAAGATAATACCATTGTGACCTTCAAATATCTGAAGACCGCCGATGATGGGCAATATCAGTGCGTCGCCACAAACATAATGAAAGAGCATGCCAGTGAACCATATGGTCTTATGGTCATCTGTAAGTAATATAAAAAACATACATGTTTAAAATATAGCTGTAAGCAGCCATTAAGGGGCCAATCACAAAGGGGGGACTAAACTAAAAATGAAACAAATTTGAACAACTATGGCATAATTGGTTAGCCTGGTGCCACCAGACTCTCGTAAATTTCATTTATACAGAGAGTCTGGCCTGGTCAACTTGTTCAGAAGTTATAAGTTAAAAATATTATTCACATTTTATCTTAATGCAGCAAATAGCTGTGAAGCTACAGGCTCACGTCCATTTTGGTGTGCTCTTCGTCGAATTTGTTAACGCACGACTACGAGAAAGGTTGGGTCTATCAAAATGTCAAGATGCCAGGATGGTCTAAACGTGTCCTTCAGTGCTTGACTCCTAATTACTTTGATATAAATCTGACTTTAAAAGACTTGTTTTTTGTACAAACTAAACCTCTTTGTGTTTACTGAACAGTTGGACCACAGAGTGTGCAGATCATTGTACTTCCAGGGATTCCCACCAAGTTGACATGTCAAGCACTGTCTCAGCCACCAGCTGTGTATCATTGGATCGAAAACAACACAGTAGTGGGAAATCAGTCTACCATAGAAGTTCCCATAAAGTATATCCTGGGCAGCAATTACACCTGTGTGGCCAAAAACCCTTTGACCAATGTGACGGTCTACACCAGCCAAGTCGTCAATAGTGAGCATTAGCCCAAATTCACACAAAACAGTTGACATGCAATATAGAGGTTAATTGTCAAAATATGCCGACATAGGAAGTTGTATGGTGTGTTCATGAAGTAACCATTCTCTCTCTGTCTTTATCACAGACCCCAATACTGCTGTCAGCATCCAGGCGAGTGTGTTGCTGACTGCTCTCATCGCTCTCCTGCTCCCTCTGCTTGAATTATGGCTCTAATACTCATATTACTGTCAGGAAGAACATGGTATTTCTGAATGAGGCATGCAGATTAGTTGAACTGCTCAAATTACTTTTTGAAAGCCAGACATATAAGCATTCATTAACGGAACACTATTTTGGCAACTAAAAAAGGGGGTTGCATTTTAAAGGAACCATACTGCATTATTTGCCTATATTTATTTTCTAAAAATGATATATGTGGTACATTTATTACTATCATTAATTGAACAGTACTTTAATGAATCACCCATTTAATATGCTTTATATACTCTAAATTAAAGCTGAACCTCATAGATGCTTCAAACACAACTAGTTCATGTTTCTTATCTCGCAATTATGTAATCTTCTCTTGAAGGAAAATGATATGCCTACAGTGTGATTTATGTATTTTGTGATTATTTAAAAGATCAAAAAATGTGAAATGTTATATATAATATTTAAACGTTATTTTCTTTATGGAATTAAATAAAAGCAAATTATTCAAACAAACTTCTCTTTTTATTGGCAACCCGTTTTATTTTTAAATGCACTTGCACATCTTTTCCAATTGTAAAAACTCAACCTCACTGGATAGATTAAATGATTTGGAATATAACAGATACAAAAGTAGTTCAGTATACACTACTTACTTTAGATATTGTGTAACAGGTACATGTATAAAACTGTGGGGACGTATAGTTTGTGTGCATAGTGACTGTGAGATTAAATCGGCATACTGCCTATGTTGCCTTTCTTCTGCTTCCTGATTCCTCCAGTCAAACGTTGGCATATTTTTGATGTCGCACTCCCCTTCTTTTGGCAAAAAGCTTTCTGCTCTTTGAGGACTCCTGAAAATAAAATAAAGGAAAATGGATAGGGCTGTCAAGTGATAAAATGTTTTAATCTTATTAATTACATGATACAGCGATTAATTAATCAAATTATATCGTAAATTAATCAGTTAGGCTAAGAAATTACCACCCCCCTTAGTCCTTAAAGTCACTATTGTGTTAAATGAGAAAATCTTTTTTTTTTTTTTTTTGATTCAACATTCAACAAACTTTTTGGCTTCGACTGCCATGAGGGTGAGTAAATGATGACAGAATATTCATTTTTGGGTGAACAATACATTTAATGGGGTTTTTTTATTAATATGGAAATGAAATCTTTTTTTTAATGAAATAATAGGCTACTCTAAATAAGAAACTAAAACTGCTGTGGTGGTAAATGGCTAAATGACTAAGTCATTCATTGAGCTGATTCATAGGAATGAATTAAATGTCTCGCTTTGGGCAAACAGTTCTGCTCTGGCTTTATAGGTAGCTATCCTCGTTAACAAAATTTAGCAAAAGCAAACAATATTGCCTGAAATATAACACAAAATTAACTTCTGATTTATTAAAGTAAAATATATTACAATATCAACTTCTTGATTATTGAACTGTTGGATAAAATTAGTAGGTCTATCACATGTGCACTCATGCTATTCGGGACTAAAACAGCACTTGTGTGACGCTGTAACACAGTCTCATCCCAAGATATCATACAACTGACGCTTTTGACCATACGTCAACATCCGCCGTATTAGGGTAACCTTAAATGTTGGTTAGATGACGATCCTGGGGCGTCATCCAACTGACGGTTTACCTTTAATGTCAGTTAGGTGATGGGGTAGGTTTAGGATTAGATAACGTCATCTAACCGACGTTTAAGGGTACCCTAAAACGGCAGATGTTGACGTATGGTCAAAAGCGTCAGTTGTATGACATAATGCGCTCATTATAACCTACTCGACTGAATTATATCGTGATATACTCATGAGACAAACTCACACAGGAGAGGAGCATTTAGGCTATAGCGAGTTGCCCCAGAGTTTCACGATCTGGTCTGTTTAACGTAAATGACAAATGGTCTGGGTAAATACAGGTTGCATAACTCACTGTATTGACGTTGCAGCTCACAGGGACAGTTCTCAAATCTTCTTCCTGTGTAAAACACCACATCAATCAAAATGACAGGACTCTTTCATTTTAAACTTTAGCACATGTCACGGCAAACATACTGTTAGAGAAAATGTCATATTCAGAATCAAAACTTTCATCATTAAGGAGAGACACTTTACTGGTTAATTGCTGTTGCACAAAACAATTATGTTTTCTACAGAATCGCAAGGATAAGCAGTAAACGATTGTCATATAAGGAAAGAACAATTAAAAGCTCTTTGAGACCGACAGTGAGTTGTGTATGCTATTTTCTTTAAGACACGGGGTAAATAAAGCGCGTTACTTACTTTTAATGAATTTAGCTATATTATCTAAAGAAGTTAGCCCCAAATAATATTAGCATTTCCGCCTCAGTTAATATTGTATTTTATATTTGAATGATCATTAAACAAATACTGTTTTTTCCCCAAGCAATGTTTCACTGCAACACTGACTTGACTGCATTACGAAGGTATAACAAATGGAATGCTAGCATATCCTGTTTAGTTAAAGGGGCACTATGCAGGAATCCCGTTTTTGTCGAACATCAACCCCTAGAGTCGCTGTGGAGTACTTTAACTTAACGTTACTGTCGTAGATACCACTCGCGCAGAGTGTGACATGGCATTAGATAGTACACAATAGTAAATTGTGTTTCATTTGTCGTTTAATGAGTTTCTAATATATTTTGTTAGTGGTGAGAATTTTCACGTGATTAAATACATAGATCCGACAATTACCCCTATGAACTTTAATGATCCAGAGGCAGAACTTTCGCCAGGTGTGTTTCGCCAAGGTTCTAGGTTCTAATCCCTACTAGTTGTATAGTTTATTTTCCTCATCAAAACCGATTATTTATTAGTGGTTGTATTTCAAGCATGGACAAACTTTTTTGTGTATTTTGGGATTTCACCGTAACAAATATAGAGTCTCTCAGTCCCCGCAACGGATTGAAGCGCGTGAAGACTGTGCGCGTCACAACAGAACACTGTATCCGCGCCACTGATCGCAGCAGCAACAAGCACTTCAGTCACTTGAGTTCAAAAACAACACATTTCAGATCGCCTCTTATTTAACATACGAACGAAATGAATGCTCTACTAGAGTTACCTGGAGATATTTTATTTGTTTGTATTGGTACATCCATGCCGCGAGATGTTTCAATGGGGGACATATCACACCCGCAAATTCAGCTGTGCTGGTAACTTATAACAGAAATAATCGCAATTAAATGGAATGGACATTTTTCTATACAATAACAGGCTAGTCAACATTTGAAGTCAAAACCATTCATTAAAAAATTACATACATTTTTTTTGAACAATACTATGGATTCAGCGATTCCTCAAAATTCATGCCTTAAGAAATTAGGAACTTTATGTTCCATTATTTTGTTAGAGGATTGACGCTATTTCTTTAAATGTGCGCAGTCAATTTTCCGCTGATTCATTGTACATCAGAGTATTCATGTTGTCAATGTGTAAGAAAATATAAGACAGGCTATTTGGGGCTCCATAGTATTTTGTGACGCATTCAAAAGTCATTTTTAAACCATTTGTGTCGATGGTGATGTCTATCTTGTAGGTTTTCAGATATGTACATCTCTGAGAGATATGTGTGTTATCTTACCACTGCAGTTGCATGTCCTGACCTGCCTTCTGGACACCTCTGGAGATTTATCTGAATCTCTCCGCTGAGGCTGGGCTGCATCAAGGACAAATATTGAAACATCAACATTATTCAAACAAATCACACATTTAAAGGAGTAGTTCACTTTAAAAAAAAAAAACTTTTGCTGATAATTTACTCACCCCCATGTCATCCAAGATTCTTTATTCAGTCGAAAAGAAATTAAGGTTTTTGATGAAAACATTCCAGGATTTTCTCCATATAATGGACTTCAATGGGAACCAAACGGTTCAAGGTCCAAATGAGAGTTTCAGTGCAGCTTCAAAGGGCTTTAAACGACACCAGACGATGAATAAGGGTCTTATCTAGCGAAACGATCTGTCATTTAAAAAATAAATAAAAAGTTTCAGTTTTATAAGCACAAATGCTCGCCTTGCTCTGTTCTGTAATGAGCATTCGTGACTCTCCTGTTCAAACTCGTTCATCAAAATTTATCTTTTGAAATCCAAAAAAATCAAAAACAAATCTTTTTTCGAATCATGACTCGAAGGGTTCTAGATAAGACCCTTATTCATCGTCTGGTGTCGTTTAAAGCCCTTTGAAGCTGCACTGAAACTCTCTTTTGGACCTTGAACCGTTTGGTTCCCAATGAAGTCCATTATATGGAAAAATCCTGGAATGTTTTAATCAAAAACCTTAATTTCTTTTCAACTGAAGAAAGAAAGGCGTGGACATCTTGGATGCCATGGGGGTGAGTAAATTATCAGCAACATTTTTTTTAAAAGTGAACAACTCCTATCATAAATTTTAATAAAAAAAAAACTTTTGAAATATATTACATTGCAGGATTTAAGGAATAGTTTACCCCAATATATATATATATATATATATTGATAAATTGGTAACCAAACAGCTGATGGAACCCTATTGACTTTCATATAGTATTTTGTACTTGCTTCATATGAAAATCAATGGGGTCAATCAACTGTTTGGTTATCCAAATTCTTCAAAATATATTCTCTTGAGTTCAGAAGAAGAAATTCATACAGGTTTGGAACAACCTGAGGGTAAGTAAATTATGACAGAATTTTCATTTTTGGGTGAACAATCCCTTTAACAGATGTAATTTCAATTCTAAATGCAAATACAAAACAAGCAATATATTTTTGGTTTGTAAATTTACAATGCAAAATAACATAACAGCTAAAAAACAACAACAACAAATACATATAGCATACCTTAAATGTAATTATATTAATTATTTTTTTTTACCTTGACAGTAGATGTTAGTGGCAATCACCAGAGCAAAGGCCAGCAGAAGCACCTGGAACTTCATCTTTCTCACAAGCACTTAGACAGAAAATGAGAAATACTGCCTAAAATAACACTTTTAAGTCTTCAAGACTCCTGCTTTTCAAGAGAACATTGTATTCAAATCTAGGGTTACACAGTATTTATATGACAAAGCTCTGATTTCTGGGTCTCAAAAGCCACGTCTGGTTATGCCCCAACTTGCTGGATAGAATTTTAGAAGTGAAGTGTGAATGACTTGTTGACAGCATTTTTTTTTTTTTTTTTTTGATGGAAACTGCCAAGATCTTTGATGAGGGTTGCCACAATTTTGCAGAATTTCAATGTCCCCTTTGTAATTCTAACTCTGATGAACCCTCATAGAATTTTTTTCTTATTCTTACCATATCACATTTATACCTTAGTTCAGTTCAAATGAAACCTATTAAGTCCAGTGCCAAATGTTCTGCATTAGATGGTTTCGCAGGAACCCAAAAGTTCATATTTCACTAAACCTTTCAAAGTCTGATAACACTACTCAAGACCAAAAAAATAAATTCCTTAACAGCTAAATGATATCAAGCATGCACCCCTAATCAATCTTGTATTCACTCAGATTCATTAAACTGTAAAGACAGGCTGGTTAACACTGTTGTAACTGCGAAACAAAAAAGGAAATAAATATCGTCTTTCTGAAGACACTCTCAGATCATTTACAAGAAATGACATCTTGTGGACTTCTTTAATCAGAGACCTGACCTCAACCCAACTGAGATGCTTTGGCATGACCTCAGCACATGCCAAGAACAGAGCTGACATGAAACAGCTTTATGAAGACAAATTGAACAGATTCACAGATGCAGAAATCATATCTATTATTAAAACCACAAACATCACACAATTTCAAATCACATACTTAAATCCTTACTCTGCTCTGAATATTTACAGTGTGTCTGATAAATCTATAAAACTATAAGCAGACTCTATTGTTGTTGAATATGGAGATACTTTTTTGATGTCGTTTTGATGTCGGCTTTCAGAAAAGTGCGTAATGAAGAGAAATTAGATTCTACCGGTCACATGCTGACATAAAAGAAATGTTGTGCAAGACATTTGAGTTCATAAAAGAACTAAAGTACACATGGGTTGTCTCAAAAGTCACGGATTTACAGATATACTGGAACTGTAATTCTATCTTTAACAGTCTGAATCACTCAGCTTGATATCACGTCATCTGACACTCTTGTGTACACCATAACATGCCCCAGCCGAGTGCTTGTTTTCTGATGCTTATCAGATTGTAGGTGCCAAAAGGTATTTAACAGTATTTGAGCACTGACACAATGTCAAAGAGAAACTGACTTCAATTCATTCACCTGAAGGAGACCTGTCGCCGAGACCTGACCACGTTTTCTGAAAGCAACTGGAAGTTACTTTAAACACGTGGATTAACTTCTGAATTTACACTAATTTTTATGCCTTTTTTTCTGGTTATTTCAGACTGTAAAATATCATACCCTAAAACAATTATATTAAATATCAATTCATGACATTTGTGTAAAAAAATGTATACACAAACACACACTTGTGGCCAAAAGTGCTAGCTTTCATACAAAGAAATTATAAACACATGCAAAAACAAGAACCAACTAAACATTAATAACTGATTATGTTGTTGTTATATACATTTTCCTCTATGCTTTTTGTTTCTCTTATGTATTTTTTTTTTTTGCAAAATAAACTAAAAACTATAGCTGTACTTTGCCTTTTTGTCAAATTATTTAACGTTTAATGTTTCGTTTTTTCTTCATATTTACAATATTTCAAAAAATTTAATGAAACTCATAAAAGGGTCATAAAAAAAGAAATCTCAACCTTCAGACAACACTTTTGGCCACTACTATATAAATATATATATTTCCCTATAGTTCCCTATATATTTAAAAAGTTTGGGTAAGATTTTTAATCGAGCGATGGCACATTAAAATGTTCAAAAGACATTCATAATGTTACAAAAGATTTCTATTTCAAATAAATGCTTCTTTTAAACTTTCTATTCAATTAACACTTAAATATTAACCGTTTTAATATTAACTGTCAACACTGATAATAATAGGAAATGTTTCATGAACAGCAAATCAGCATATTAAAATGATTTCTGAAGGATCATCATGTGACACTGAGGTGATGATGCTGAAAATTCTCTGCCATCACAGGAATAAATTACATTCATAAATATATTCAAAAATAAACAGTTATTTAACATTGTATAATATATAACAATTTAATTTTATATTTCTATATTTAAAATAATATTTCACAATTTTTACATGTATTTTGATCAACTAAATACAGCCTTGGTAAGCTTACATGATTTCAAAAATGCCAACCCTAAAGGTTTGAACAATGTACTGTATATTTAAAAACGCAATAACACTTCTAAGAACTAAATTTGTCCTTCATAATAAAAGACAGCTTAAAATAGAAATTCAAAACAACCGATTTGGAAGGTTTCCCAGGTTTTATTCCATCATTTTTACATGATAACTGTTTATCGCAGCACCAGACATATCTAACCCTCAGACTGGAATCTCAACACAGAGTCACAATTCCTGGAATCACTAGAAGATGATAATGTTCACAAAAGCCCATCAAGACAAGACAGTACGAACACAAACACCAGGACAAAGCAGCAGAACAATCATACACCTTAACATTTAACCATATTCCTCAGTATTTGAAAGTGACGGTGGGTTGATTGGTTAAAATAAAGAAAGTGGTCAGTGTCTTTTCCATTCTCTGCTTATTATATACTGAGCCATGCGAGGACCACCCACACCCACACCCACTCCCACTCCTTGTCTTTAGTTACAAGGTTGGATTTTATCCAAAATGTAAATCTTTCAGTCAGATACCTCTGGTGCCTAAAGAACATTTACTTTTTTAGTTACCTGGAGGTGAAGGAAAGAATCAGAAAAAAAAAGAAAAACACTGTACAAAAATAACTGAAAGACTAATTCAATGTTTATCACAAAGAATTCCTGCAAAGAAAGTATCCAAAACAATACATCTTTTGTAATCATTTTAAAGCTACGTAACATTGTGTGAGGCACCTACCCTTTTTTCTTAGAAAAGAGACTAATACGGGCATTGACAGAGAACAAAACCAAATTAACCCATATCGTTCCTTTCAACAAACAAACAAGCAGTTTCCAACATATGAAGAGCCTGCTTTCGAGAAGTCTGCTGTTTCCAACACAAGGATCAAAAGGAAGTCTTGGTCAATCAAACCATGATAGCAGCACGCAGCCCTTATGTACACGTCAACAACCTCTACTCATCACCATTACACTGCAAAATAACAGGCTTGTTCATATATGCAGACTTTGTAGCGCACTAAACATTTTGCGTAAAGATAATAAATCTGACGACATTTAAAGGGATAGTTGAGCCCAAAATGAAAGCTCTGTCATTATACCTTCAAGTCTAAACAAAACACAACACAGGGGGCCTGTAATAGCAATATATTTATAGAAATGTATTTCTATAAATATATTGCTCTATATATTTATGCTAGTCATATGATGTTTGGAACTACCTGAGGAATGGCATGACAGTTTGCATTTTTGGATGAACTATCCCTTTCTGAAGTCTCTTAAACAAAATCTATTTTTGTAGTAACAAGGAAGCTGTAATGCATACTGACGGGAAGCACGTGTTGATGTGTATGACATATACGTGTGTCTATTAAACAGTCATGAGTTTTCCTCGGGGTGTTTATATCTCAACAAGGCTCTAATTGTAGAGCATAAATGATGAGACATCCGTTATTTCACAGGAAAGGGTGTTTATGCTATATTTTGTGTTTGCGTTCATGGAGTTTGCTTATCTAAAAGGGATTTGATGCATTCATGCAAGGGCTGGCACACCCTCTGGTAGGCCTGCGGCGTGAGATGCAGATAATCATACATGTCCTGATGTGCGATGGAACCATCGGACTGAATAAACCCAGGGTCCATGTCCAGAAAAGAGACATGAGACAGAGACGCTACCTCAGCCTGAACTTGAGCATTCACACTCGTGTTACGCTCCCGAAGAGGGTTTGGACTTTTACCTCTTGGCAGCAATCCCTAGTGGTGAGGAAAGAAAGAGAATTACCTTCCAATAGGTGCAATAAATTGGAGCTTTTTAATAAGACACCAATATCTATAAGGTATTGATAATGTTAATGAAAAAGTGAGATACTACCGTTTTTATATGTCAACAGGACAAAAAAGGAGCATTTTGACAATGGTCAAAATGATTGAATATGAATAACCGTTTCAAAGGTTCTTGTATAATGTTTGTTTGGGAATATGTTGTACCCTTTGGACAGTTCTATTTTTGTTACTTTTTGTTTCTCTGTTGCCCATTTCTCTCTGTTGAACAAGTCATAATGGCCAAGCACTGATGGAAATTATCAAGACTGGAATGAATTAAATTATTTTCAAAATATGAAATAATGTTGTGACAAAGAGAGGAAGGAGCTGAGACAACTAACCAACACAAGAGTGTGAGCATGAGGAAGCTTCTCATGGATCACGTTGACGATGGCCATGATGCCTCCAAGAATCTGCTCTGGAGTGTGACCATGATTATTAGTGCCCACCCACAACACCACCACCTGCAGACCAACAGACCAAATAAGACATTAATAACTGTTTTTTTTTTTTTGCTAGAAGAGGGTCTTTAAGTTTGTTTTGTCAATCAAGTTTTTCAGATGTCTAAACAGTGTCACCTGTGACCATTTTCCTTCATGTTTCCTTAAAATAAGGGATCCATATGCAAATGACTCACTTCTTAGAAAGAATTCAAAGATGTACAGACAGTATCTGGGCCACCTTGCATTAGTTGAAGCTCCACCTTAATTCGTTGAACTGCTTGGTTTAAAAAGTCTCTTGACAAACTCTGGTTTAACTTTGAATAAATCGATCAGTTTGCAAAATGAGAAATAGATATTGATATTGTATTAAGATATTACATGTATATTTAGAATAGATATATTGATATTTAGATATTGTAATAGTAGTTTTATTAGTTTCGTTCAAGAATGAATATGCTGCCTTGAATGGATCAGTGAATAAATGATTCTTTGACTTACTTGTTAAAAGGTTTGAGTTTCATAGAAAAATATCATACATATTTTTTTTATTAAATATTTAATTTCATATTTCTATATTTAAAATGTTACATTATAAAACTAATTTCATAACATTCTCACAACTCTAAATTAAGTGTAAATACATTCAAATAATAATATAATAATAATAGTAATAATAAATAGTAATTTCTGTATCACAACATTTAGTTAAAGGTAAAATATGTAGGATTTTGCAGTAAAGTATCCAAAAAAAAAACACTAGGCCAATGTTACATGTTTTGTTTAGTTGATTACTTACAAGATCCCCAATGTATCCAACTATATGTAAATCGTGAGAATTTGGTCATCCAAAATAAAAGTATGTGTTTACATAATATATGTGTGTGTAGTGTGTATAATTAATTTGTATATATATACCCACACATGCATGTATTTATTTAAGAAAAATGTGTTATTAATATATCAAATACTTATATTTATATATATAATATTAATTATGTATAAATATATATAAAGTATATACATGCAAATATTTCTTAAATATACTGTATACATTCATGTGTGTGTATTTATATATACAAATTAATTATACACACTACACACACATTGCCCATCCCTAATTATAACCAAGGATACGGGGCGTGTGAGCAGGGGTGAGGGAGTCTCACCCCCGAGTCTGCGCAGTACGACTCGGCTCGGCATGGCTCAGTTCGCTTTCGCTCGGTTTGCTTTTCCACTGCAGTTAGTACCGCTTCAAAGTGGGTGGGATTATAGACTGACCATTTTAGCTTATCCGCTCGCTCCTCTGCAACAAACGAGAGGAACGTCTGCACTTCGTCCACTGACCACGATTCAGCCATTTCTTTTTTGGAAGTTTTCCTTCTTTCTTTTTTCTTCAAGCAAGTCAGTCAAGTAGTTTTAAAACAGGTGCTACAGTGGTGGCTGTTACTGGCAATTTAAATCTAGCGGGTTTGATGTCTCGCAAATGCAATGACGCTGGTAGTGACAATTCTGTCTGACTGACCAATCAGTGATCTGCAGATCATTACAAAAATGACATACTGTACGTTTAATTTACCAATTCCAGCATAATGCCAACAACGGAAAAATTTAATTATTAAATTGTTTGTTGTTTTTGGATAAAAATTCACTAAAATTAGATCTGGTGTTACTTCATTAAGAGTCACTTGAAAAGTAAAGAACTCTAAAAGAGTTCAATCTATCACAGGCCATCAAAATATGCTTCAGTAATAATGGATTCTGGTACAAGGGGTATAAAGGAGGATCTTCACCCGTTAACAGAAACATACGAGTTAGACTAGAGTGCCTTATTCAGACGTAAATAAATATGAAAGTAATTTAAATGTGTTCTACAGTATGTAACTAACTTTTTAATGTATTTTTTATAGTAATTGTTATAGGGGTGCCAGGTCATTTACCTTTGGGCTGATGTGGTCCAGTTCTCCATTGATGAGTCTCCAGAGTACATGCTGTGTAGCATCTCCACCAATCCCGAAGTTCAGTGCATGGAGAGGAGAAAACAGTTTTCGCCAAACCTGCCAACATCAGGTAAAAAGAAACCTAGCATTGTGGATTTGTTGCTTTTTCTGGTAACACTTTAATTAAGGGTCTAATTCTCGCTATTAACTAATTGCTTATTCTCATACATATCACTAAGATATTTGTTGTTTATTAGTATTTATAAAGCACATATTTAAGACTTATTCTGCACAACATTTTCTGCATCCCTTAATCCCACCCAGTACCTAAACTTAACTGTACTAACTAATAAGCAGTATCAGTATAGTTTTAATTAATGCCATGTCAGCATCTGTGGCTATCTTCATGGCAAAAACTGAATTACAAAAAACAAGTTACATCAATACAATAAAATGAAAAACAAGCAAACAAAAAAAAAGCATTTATTATTATTAAAACTTTTTAACATTAAAATGTTTAACTAATAAGCAGTAGAAGTTCATTAAGGCAAAAGTCATAGTCAATAGTTAATGGTGAGAATTGGGCCCTAAACTTAAAAGGGGGGTACAACGGTGTTTCATGTATTCAGAGTTGTTTACAGTGTTAAAGATAGCTTGCTGTAGTCATTGCTGCTGCTGCTCGTCTTTAATTTCAGCCTTGGGATCTGATTCGGAATCAAAAATATATTTCTGAATGGGATTGTTAGCCATGGCTTGTTTTGGGATGTCACAGCTTCCAGACGCTCTCAACGCAAAAGCTATGCGCGCTCGTGATTATTTAGCCCACAAGGCACACCTCCACCCACTCATTTTTCCCCAGAAAGACTGTAAAGCCTATCTTTCTTTTATAAATGTAATAAAACTAAAGAATTTTTGTAGATATGAAGGATGCAATACTTCTCTATAGGTACTCAAGATTAACAAGAGATTGACTTACTGAGTGTTTCAAATAGTGACTGACACTAGAGTGTTTCTATCAAATATTAATGCTGTAATGTTAGTTGATACAAATGCTGTACCTCAAACTCATGCAGAAGCTGAATAAGTGAATCTCCAATAAACAGAACATCAGGCTCTTTTCCTTTACTGTCCGATACAAATCGATTGTGCTGCACAGATGAGAACACATAAAAATGACATTATGATTCTGTTTGCACATTAGAGAAGGTGCTGGATCATTTTTTTTTTTTTTTTTTTTTTTTTGACAGATACATCAACACGATATATTAGCAGTCTAATAGGTACACTAAGGTTGTAATATTGTTGTATATTGTACTAAAGAACCACCAGTGACATCCATCGGCCATCTCCCTGTGTGTCCTGACAGGGGGTGGGTGTGGCTGCAGGGTTAGAATCTCCACTCATTACTTCCTGGGGAACGACATGGGGAGATGAGTTACATTTCTTCTAGCGTTAAAAATGGATCCTCCTCAATTAAGCCCAAACAACATTTGAGATTATACAATTCTGACCACAATGGTGTGCAATAACATGCAAAACATTAAATTAAAACAAGAAGTTGTATTATGGTTGGTTAGTTTATGTACTTTGTACGCATCCTATCCGCATGAAAAGCAAAAACACGGCTACATTTTCCCACAGCTTTACTAGTTTGTTGCTATTTTTGATGAAGTTTGCATTGCAGTAGCTCACAACCTAGCTGATGAAAAAAATAGCAGCTTATAAATAACAATTGGTTGGACGTTTGAGTATTTCAAAAAGTTAACGTCTTAAAGATTATAAATGAGCTAAAAGTGTTTTTTAACTGAGCAGCTCACATAGCTAATGTAGCACTTAGCATGCAGATGTCTCCATTTAGAAGAACAAGGCACAAAAACGCGTTAAAACAATGCGTAATATGATACTAAGTATTTGCAATACATGTTAGCCCTTATGTCGATTCACAATCATTTTAAGGATGGGAAAAGTCGTTACCAATAAATGTAAGCACAGCCGAGTTCAGTGTTCAATCAGTCAGCCAGCCAGCGGTCAGCTGCCAAACCCCGGAAGCAGGAATATCGAACCAGGCATTACTGGCAGATCGCCGAGAACAGTCGACTTATAAAATAGCATAAAACTTTACAAAAGCAAAAAACTGGTCATTAAATCTCCTTCGTTTTTGTTTTTAGTTTTCAGTGGTTCCAATATATGTCAAACTTTAAAACATTTTACTTAATAGCCATTTCCTTTGACCGAAATAGTCTTTGCAGAGATCTGCATTTGATGGTCATCTTTCGAAGCACGTTGCCAAGCAACGAAAAGTGAAAACCTAACGGCCTTTGGACTCAACTACAGGTATACCGATTTCATGTGGTGGTTTGATAATATATATGTATTATATGTCTATTTGATAATAAAGAAATCAAAATTCAACCGTTGAAACACAAAGAATGTTCTTTATTTGATGTATGCTGTTGCTAAACCAGTGTGGTGAACATAACCACAGAATTAGCATGGGACTACTAACACAGATTGCTTAAATTATTGAAATACATAACCGACTAACGTTATTTATTTATTTTTTTATAATAACGTGTCTTTTATAGTTTCAACATGAAGATAAGCCAGCAATCCTGCAAAAGCTTTCCACATAAACACAGCTTTCAGAAGACATCCAACAAGTCTTCATGTCATTCAGCCAATGCTGTCCACAACTGCAAACCGTCATGCAGCAGCAGCATGATTACAGATGTGCATTGCAACTCATCACATAAAGTAAGGCGTCTTAAAACCAGGAAGGAAAGGAATCAGATTCGAGGTCAGGAGAGAAACCGGTCTCACGCATACAATCAGCACAGTAGAAAGGATGGCGGTAAGAAAGCACAGTGCCACCACATCCATCCACTGTCGTGTTCAAGAAAAGAGAGCACATTCTTCGCTAAGCCGTTAATTCCCCGAAAGCCAAGCATAATAACTGAAGGACGCCTTACCGCCATCCGAGGCCTTTTCAGCCATGAGGTTAGGTCGATAGATATTGAGAGGCTGGTGAGCGACCAAATAAAGAAAGATAAGCAGAAAAATGAGCAAAGAAAACAGTCTATGACGCACATTACATCACCGCTATCTCCTCCAGTAACGTTACCTAATTCAGACCAGGACTGCGCTCTCGATTTACAGGAACCACTCCAGGAACAAGAAAACAATATGCCGCCACATGTGAAGAGGAAGAAGAGTTCAAGAAAGGAGCTTATTGGAAAAAGCACTGGTATTCGGACTAATAGAGGAGACGCAGGGCCTATGGGATTAATTAGAGAAGATGGGAAGTATGACAGAAATGCCGACATCAGGAAAGTAGATACTAGTAACAAAACAAGGCAAGATAGTCCAAGTAGACCAAGAGAAACTGAACACATGGTTTTGTCATCCTTAGAAAATGACCCGGTTCTTCAGTTATGCTCTACTCCAGTTGAAACCAATGATAATAATTCTGAAATTTCACAAACAGACATCAAATCCCATGATGAAGCATATCAAGAAAATGGCATTATGAAGAGTCAAATATTTGAGAAAACTTCTACAATGATGGAATTCCAAAACATGGAAGCTCCACAAATGTTGGAAAATCTGCAAACTTTAACCTCTCTATCTGAACTGGACCCTGGGGCTGGTCAATTGGCAGATAGTGTCAAGCAGAGGGAGCAAATGTCAAATTCTTGTAGGAAAGCAGTGAAAAGGCTGGCAAAGCGTTTGTGTCAGGCTTCAGAGCTCCATGTACCAAGCCATCGGTGTCCCCTGCTGGCCGAGTGTAGAGAGGTGCTAATGCAGACTTTACAAAAAAGACATGGCTTCCAGTTAGAGCACAACCTGTATAGGCTACACTCATTCTTGAATGGGAAACAAGCTGCCTCTCAGCTCAGCTCAGGACAGAGTCATAAAGATTGTTCATCTTTTAGCTACGCAGTGGAGAACGAGGAAAGGTGTTACAGCAGGAACATGGAGATTTGGCCAGGTATGTCACAAATAACATTTGTGGTTCAGTGACAGGTAAAAGTTCCTAGAAATGTAATCTTTGTATTTAGGTTGCTTTTCAAAAAACTTTTAATCTATTTTCAACAACATTTTCAATTTAAAGCGATGACAATTTTCAGTATGAAATAACCGATTTTTTTTTAAATTAAAGGTCAAATTATTTGTTATTGTAACATAATTATTAACCTCGAAACAGACATGATATCATTCCTGTTTTATTTATTTATTTATTTATTTTCCTGCATGCTTCTGCACATTGGTTGCACAACATGAGTTTTATCAAATGTTTATATTTCAATGGAACTGCTTTGATGCTTCATTCTTTCTGATAAAAATAATAATTAAATATAATATACCAAACTATTCAAGGTTTTTTTTTTTTTGTATGGTTATAGGACAGATGTGCAACTCTGACATTTATGACTTAATGCACCCAAAAATATAACAAAATGAATTTTAATTTAGAAAAATAAAAACATATCATTGAAGAGGTTTATTCAAATCATTATGGCCCTGTTTCACAAACAGAGCTTAGATTAAGCCAGGATTAAGCCTTAGTTCAATAATGGCATTTAAGGAGCTTTTATAAATGTGTCTTAGACAAAAAACATTACTGGTGTGCATCTTAAGACAAAACAATGATGTTGACATATTTTAAGATATGTCAGTGCAGGTATCTTTCAGTTAAAACAGGTCAAACATTCATTTTTATTCTGGGTTTAGGCTTAAGGCTCGTCTGTGTTATACAGAGGGTATATGAATCAATTGCATTTTTATATCCTGACAAAAATGAGTGTCATGTCATTAACCATTGTCTCATGGTATAATATTTGTGTACATGAAAAAAGTTTGAAATGACCTCTCTGCTTCCTAGACAGTGCCATACAGCACGATTACGTAGCAGAGGAATTTAGGCTGGACTTGAACAGAGGAGCTTCCACCAAGAAACAAAGGATACAAGAGTGGAACACATCTTTCCCTCCATTCTCTCTAGAAGAACCACAACAGTCACACACAGACATGGTGAGTCAGTGAAATCAGACACAAAGTTTAATGTCTCAAAGTTTAAAGTCCAAATAATACCAATGTTGTCGTAAACTAGACTATTAAAGAGGAAAGAAATTTTTACTACTTGCAGTTCAGGGCTCTATGGATATTTTTTGCATCTGAATTTGTTTGGTCAGTCTTTGCAGTTTGACCAGGATTGCTTCAGAGCTCAGCATCATCCCAGCAGACACCTCTTTAACCAGAGCCAGACCTTTACCCAGCATGCCGTCCCTTTACTCAGAGCCCCCACCTGGCTTGATCATTCTGTGAACTCCTATTCCCAGCAGCAGACACTGAGCACAGGGAAGAGTTTGAAAAGTATACATTTAGATCCCTCCAGAATCTCTCAACAGTGTCCAGAAGAGCCATATTTTGGAGGATCCAGATTCTGGTCCCCTCAGCAGCGAGTTCAGGATGAAAGAGAAAGATGGGCTCCCTTTTCATTCTCAGCTTCCTATCTCTCAGAGGGCTTTAAGTCCGAGCCCTTTTTTCAGTGTCCACGTCCATCTAACACATCCAGGTCAGACTGGCTTGGTTTGACTCAGTGTCCCAGGTCAAACACACCATTTTACCCTCCTTTTTACCTGTAGAAAAGACTGTTTGCCATGGCTAATCTCATCTTATCATCATAGGTGATGCTGTGCTCCAACTATCTTCTTACTGTCGTTGTACGAGTAAAACATTTTTTCTTTGCATTACAGATTTACCTTTTTATGTTTACAAAAATTAAAAAGACCATCACCTCTACATGTGATTTGTATTTGAGAGTTTAGAGTACTTACATTATGATTTCTCTAATATATTTGTATATACTTTGTAACACTGGTAGTAAAAGTGACTCTTTTTTTTCTTCATTATACTGTAAAAATAAGATTTTGTTATATCCTTTTAATAAAGCAGTACAAAATTAACATTTGGTCATCAAACTGATTTCACGATTTTAGTTTTATATCTGCTAAAATATCTCGTAGTAAAGTAAAATATAAGAATTCAATTTAATACTCTTGTAAAGTAAGTAGATCATAGTTATTGTAGCTGTTGAATTTATATTTATTTAATTATATTATTTAATGCATTTTCATTACATTTTTACCACAAAAGCCTAATAAAAATTTAAAATACATTCTGGTAAGTTTGTATCTTTTCCATTATTATTATTATTTACATATTGTAATATATGCAGCCTGCAGAATTTATAGCCTTTTATTGAATTAAATTATATTAAACTTATATTATAAATGTGGTTTTATACATGTAGTCAGGGCATCAGGTAATATACTTCCTCATCTATTGGTGTCTGATTCACAAAATATTCGGTTTCCTCCATGTTTTTCTCTTGTCTCTTCTGAGCATTCTCCTCCTTCATCTTCTGCTCCTCTTGGCTTCCAGTGTTGCTGCTCCTTAGAGCTCTCTTTAACTGATTCCAGAACAGTTCTTTTGCACTGCTTGGATCAGAACAATTTAACCCTGGCCATTGCAAATAGGTCTTTTTGAGCATGACCTTTCTCATACGGTGATAAGTGGACAGTTGCCGCTTTGGTATAGGCTCCAGAAAGACCAGCAAAAGCACATCCTGCATTTCCTGAAAGAGACGATAGCTGGCCAGCTGGATCTCCAGTGAGCACCATTCACTGCGAAGGAAGCTTTGACTGACCACACAGATCGTTTTACGACTTCCATACACAGCAGCCACAATGTTGTCGACAATATCGCGGCCCAGTTCGAAATCTCTGTGGTGGAGGCAGAGCCGAAATGAGGAGCCCTCGAGATTCGGCAGCAACTGTTCCATTACCCAGTCTTCATCTGCTGAGTTGTAGGACACAAAGGCGTCATACTTGTATTTCTCTTCCTGGTCCCTTAAGCGACGCCACTGTTCTCCAAACCATGATCGAAACACATAGTAGCCGTACTTAAACTTCCAATAAAGTCTGACGTAGAGAAATGGTATTAAGGTAAATAATATTGTGAATGTAAAAGTTAAGGAAAAGAGGTAGAGTTCTATGTCCAGATAACACACATTAGTATCAAAGTTGTGAAAATATGAGCCTGGATGGTCTTGGCATGTAATATTGTAAAGATATGGAAATTGGAGTCTCTTATTGCTTACGGTCCAGTTCTGCAGATCAGTATTCTGGCAGCCACAACTGAGAGGACAACTGCGCATGTCAATGTATGTTAGATTGGTCAGATTGTCCAGTAAACTGATGTCCAAAGACGTCATGGCGTTGCGATTCAGATGTAGAGTCTTTAGTCCTGTCAAATTTCCAAAGACCTCTTTTGTAAAAGATTTAATCCCCATGTTCTCAACAAATAACATTTTCAATTTTCGAAGGTTTTTGAAAATACCAGGTTTGAGTTGGGCGATCCCGACACACGAGTCGACTAGAGTTAAGAACTCCAAGCTTTTTAGGTCATCAAATGTTTCATCACCAAATCCAATGATATGGTTGTTGGTGAGGTAAAGACTTTTTAGAGAAGTTAGACCCCGGAAAAACGCACGGGGCAACAAGTATATGCCATTCGGTTTCTGCGCATCAAGTTTCAGGTCGAGAAGCCTCGTCATATTAATAAATGGCGAGAATGTATGCTCTTTCAAATACTGAATGTGGTTATCCTGTAAATCAAGCACCTGCAGGGTGGCATGAAGTTTCCCAAAGAGATGGCTATCAATCATATTCAGACGATTTCTATCTAAATACAAATTGGCCAAGCTATGCAGCCCATCAAATGCATGTGGCTTCAGCTGAGTGATCTTGTTCCCGCCTAAATCTAAAATGCTTAAATTTGACAGAGAATGAAAGGTATAGTTGAAAATTACAGCTATTTGGTTGTTGCGCAGGTTGAGAGTCTTCAGGCTGGTAAGATCTTCAAAGCTGTCGTTGTAGACATCGGTCAAAAGGTTGTTGTCGAGACGAAGTGTAACAAGATCTTTGAGTCCACTTAAGGCTTTATGGTCCATATAGGCAATTATGTTTATATTTAGCTCAAGCTTTGTTAATTTTGGTGTGTTACTGAAGGCAAAAGGACTGACCTGTAGAATTCGATTGTATCGATAGCTTAGGTTTCTCAGGCTGTAGAGCTTTTCCATTTTGTTGCAGGACTTCAGGCTTGTCAGATGGTTATGTTCTATTTTGAGACTTTTCAGTTGGTTTTGACCGTGCAGAAACTGCAAGCAGCCTGTTGTTTTCATTTCGTTTCGTGAGAGGTCCATTACATCTGTGATATTGGGGCAATGATAAAATGTGGTGTTATTTAGAGTTCTTATGGAATTGCCCTCGAGGAACATTTTAGGTATGGGTTTCTTTTTAAGGTGACGTTGCAGAAGAGAACACAGATCAGACAGCACAGAAGAGTTCTTCAGTTTCAATCCAGAGAAGTCGATCCTCCACGGTTGTACATTGGTATGAATAAGAAGCTCGCTAGCAGAGACGTTGGTAAAGCGCAAGCGCAGGTACGTTATATTCTCCAGATTCAGGTCCTGAAAAGCCTCGAATGATAACTTTTTGTTGTCTGAGAAATCTAGCACTTTCACATTCATTAGGAAAGACTTGTCACATCCTAGTTTGTATAGTTTATTATCACTGAGGTAGAGTGTGGCAAGCGACTCTGGCAGACAGTGGGCGTGATGCAGGGTGGTAAGCTTGTTAAAAGAAAGGTCCAGTTTTATCAAGCTGGACAGGTTTGTTATGCATTCAACCAAAGCGGAAAAGTTTTTCAGGTAATTCCGACGTAGGTCGAGAATCTGTAGATTTTTCAATTTGGAAAACAGGAACATATCAGTATTATTAAGTTTGTTGCTTCCCAGGAGCAGCTGTGTGAGGTTATGGAGGTCACTGAAGACATCACGGTGGAGAGATGATATGCTATTGCAGGAGAGATTTAAAATCTGAAGTTGATGCAGATTATTAAAAGCATCTTTGTGGACTTCAAAGATATGGTTAACGTCAAGTACAAGAGAAGTAAGATTGGACAGATGATCGAAGCTTCGGCCTCGAATGGATGTAGTGTTACAGCGAGAAACTGTAAGGTTTGTTGCTGTGGAAAACACATCTTGCACAATTGTAGAAATGTCTAGTTCGTGACTTTTAATACATCTGAAGGTTTTATGGTTAGAATCTGGGATCTCTATGCAGCTCCTGAAACTGTAGCTGAAGGCAAGTTTAAGGAGGCAGAAAAATACCGCCTTCAGGATCAGTTTGCGGCATGCAGAATCTGCCATGTTTTTTAATTCCACTTTACTTTTGCCCTCCTCAAAGACCAACACTACGAGGTTCTTCACTCAGTATGAGCTGCACCTAATCCAATATTGACAGTTTAACACAGCCAGCTGCTACAAAAAAGAAGGGAAGGTTATAATCAGTTTAAAAATAAATCTGAAATAAAATTGTTACATATTGATCTGTAATGCTACTTGTCAAATTGACTTTTTTCCTTTTTTGTAAATGTATTAAATACAACAGAAACAGACTGCATTTACAGACTGTATTTTCTGTATTTATTTTTATTTGTTTTCAGATTTATAAAATATCGTCAAATGTGAAATACAGGCAGTAAAAAGGTAGATACAAAAACATTACTCCTAATATCAAATTACATCTAAACAAACTTCTCTAATGTATTCTAATCCATCTCAGGTGACAATTTCCCACTTCTCAGACTCTTTTTTCCCCTTTTTGTTTTTACATCAACTTCCTTAAAATCGTAAATAATACAGCAATAATATATTGAAACAAAAAAAAAAAACATGTTAAATAAAATATCTGTGTAAGTTTATGTAAATGCATGACACTGCATAAAACTACATAAGTTTCTCTTTTTCACATGTAACCATTTGCTCACGATACTGATGTTATACAAAGGCATAAATCTTGTCATGGTGAGCAAAGTAGATAGAGAGCGATGTAACATGTGAACAAATTGTTCTCTTTAGCATGACAAATACAGAAACAAAATCTCTGACTATTTCAAAAACCATCAGCGATCAATCCTAAATAACCCAAGATCTCATATCTTTCATTAATTCATTTCATCATGTTGGCTATTTGTCATTTGAACATTCCCTAAATATAAACAGAACCTTAATTCAGTACCTTACCTTCATTAAATTGTTCCCGATTATTTTGACTATCAGTTGTTTGAACTATCATAGCCATTCTCTCTTTTAAACAGGAATAGAAAGAGGAACCATAAGCCCGAGCAAAGAAGAACAGACAATGGGACACAATGCCTGATCCATTTACTTCGAATTTGCAGTGAAAGTTTGTATACTTAAAAAAAAAAATGTAATTAAGGATTGATTCGTAATGTTAAATCACATGTAAGGGTCATTTAAATGATATAGTTTGGAATATTCTATTAAAAAAAAAACAATTGGAAGAAAAAATCCAGCCATCTAGGCATTTTTAAATAGACAATCTTCCCTTCATTTTCTTTAAATTAACCTCTCGCCTTCTGTTCTCGAGCCATCTGACACAGTCCACAGAAAGGACAGCAGGTCATAATCACCCAGTCATCACAGACAGAGCCCTAAAGACAAAAAAACACTTACTGCAGTGCTATTCTTTGACACCAGCATTCTTAATGTCATGAAATGATATAGATATCAGCAGGAATTTCAACACCACATCAACATCAGAAAAAGCAATAATCAATACTGAAAATATTTGTTATTGCATGGCCTACATTAATACGATATTTGTCACGGATGCTGGTTCTCAATGCAATCATAGCTCCAGGTAGGAAGGGCAAACAGCAGCTGTCACCATTATCCTGTGCCACCTTACAGCCCAAGATGCAAGGAATGAATGCCCCACATAGACCTGAGGAGCAAACCAGTGTCAGAAGAATTCACACTTTTATTTTTATTTTTTTATTTTTTCTCAATATGAGGCCACTTACTCGTCAAATTATTTGAAGAGATAGTTCATTCGGATTTACTCATCCTCTATTTAAAGGGACACTCCACCCTTTTGCATTAAGCTTTCCATTGTTCGAAACCCAGTCATACTATTGAATGGTCGTGCAAAACTCTCTCATTTTCCCCTGAGACGAGAGAAATCTGCTATTTACCTTGTTCACTTCCTCATACAATGACGCAAAAATTGCCCATAGGGGCCTGGACCTAATGCGCTAACAGACCTATCACAGATCAGTGCCAGTGCGTTTGATTTCACCGGCAGGAACTTTTTGAAAATATGGACGAAGGTACTGAATATGCAGACGGATGCATTATGGGATTATGCTGCGTTCAAGTCCTCCTGGGAAGTTCGTACGTACGAGATGGGAAGTCGTGTTTACGACGTGAGGTGCGTTCAAGTCAGTTTCGTCGGAGCAAAATGGTGGTGTACTTCTTTTAATGAATTACACGAAAATATAGCAAGGTTTGTTAACTCTGCTATCAAAAAAGTGAAGAACAAAGAATGCGCATCAGGTGAGTTTTTATTTTTATGTTTTTTATTAGCTTATGAAGCCAATGTAAACTCTATCATTGGGTATAATTTTTATATTACAATGATATCATATTTTGTGTAGAGAGCTTGCTTTATAAATGAAAAAGCCTTACAATGTCAATGAGTAAACATTGAAATTCAATTTAAAAATTTACCGTCAACAGACGTTGAATGAACGTTTCTCACTGACACGCCCCCAACTCAGATCGGGGCTTAAAGAAAATCCCGAGCTCTCCACTGGTATTTACGACATTGTGGTGGCGGTCAAATGCGCTCAACTCGTAATTACGATCTATACGAGATGACTTGAACGCAGCCTTACACAGTGTCAGCCATCTTTTTTTGGAAGCTAAGCTAGCAGGCTCTTGTTCTGCAGAAAGCCGAGTCCTCTTTTTCCCAGACATGTCCGGCCGTCGATGTCCGGGATTAAGCTTTTGCTTTCTACAGTCGCCATGCATTGTTTACATTTACATCTTTTGTTTCAAACTAACTGAATTCATTCCGATTGGTGATTCTGAATGTAGTGTTTACATGAACGCTAAAAAAAGTTTAGTAAAGTTTAGCAATGTTTTAACATTGCTAAGAAAATTCCCGCTCCTCCGTGAGAGATATGATATCGGTAACGTCTCACAGGTGTCGCTCATCAGTAACCACATCACCGGCCTCGCATCGTTCTCCACACGGCCCTCCCCAGATAGCAAACTGACATTGAATCAACGTGGAAATGTGACATCGAAACAACGTTGATCTGACATTGTTTTGCTCATCGAATTAACGTTGAACCAACGTCAGACGCTTCATTCTTTCAAAACTAACGGAAAATCAACTTGAAATCAACGCGTTGTTTCAACGTTATGAAAGCAAACCAATTTTCGATTTCATTTAGCTTTGAAGAATGCCGCGTCTGACGTTGGTTTAACGTTAATTCGATGAGCAAATCAACGTTGTTTCAATGTCATGAGAGACGTCGTTTCCACGTTGATTCAATGTCAGTTTGCTGTCTGGGTCACTCGTCCTGCACAGTAAACATGATGAATGGCGGCTGTAGAACGCAATAGCCGAATCCTGGACAGTTTGGGCGATCTCGAAACACATTTTCGGGCAGACTCATCACGGAGACTCACTAGTAGCCTAGACTTGTTGTTTAACTTCTGCGCTCTATAGCGGTAGGTGTGGCCTCCCATGGCAGCAAAGCAAGTGCCTTCTGGGAGTTGATGTCTTTCATCCACATAAGCCAAAAATACATTTTCTGGCTTTTCTCAATCTAGAAAGCTCCAAATTCAAAAATAATTTCACCTTTCTTCTACATAAATTACCCATTTTAGATACAAATTCATCTTTCCAGAGGTGGAATGACCCTTTAAATAAATCCTCTATTTCTTATTGCGGGACATGAAAGGAGATATTTTGAAAACTGTTTTTGTTCAGTAGGGTCCAAAACAACTGACTTACATTGTCAAAGAAAGAAAGTCATACATACAGGTTTGAAATGACACGAGTGAATATTTTTAGGGAAGAACTTTCATTTTTAGGGAAGCTATTCCTTTAACAACTTTTCCAATTCGTAATATCTCTTACCATTATTACATAAGCAAAATAGATTTACATGAATGAAAACACTCACAAATGCCGCAGTCCTCGCAACAGTCACAGACATCAGAGCTCCAGTGAGAAACAGTGTAGCTGGTTACAATCATTTGTGGCTGGGAAGTCATTGCTTCTGTTTGATATGACATCACTGACACACAGAAAATTATATTTAAAATTAGCAGTATACATTAAATACAGTAAAGCCTTGTTGCTACAAAACATGTATTTTGATGGCTATTATAGCAAAGATTGGTTAAATAAGTATAAATTAGGACATAACATGTGATGTCATTTCTAAGCCAGATGGATTGTTTAAAATATTACCCTCTCTCTCTCACCTGTTTCCTTGGAGAGGCTGGTACTGTACAGTATGTGTCTCACTTCCTCAGGGAATGATGTTCAATTTCTGATAGTTTCACATCAGTGAAGTTGGAAATCACCTCAACATGCGTAGGGGAGGAGAAAATGTGGTTACCAGGTGAGTGGTTTATGTGACCTGTAAACTTAAGGGTGAAGTGTTTGAATTGGGGGCGAGGAGTTTTACATTATTTCAGGTCTCCACACCCTTCCATCAACACATGTTATCTACAGCCTATAAAACATTTAGATGAGAACATTGTGTTTTTGTACCTCTTGAATATGTACATTGGCCCTTTTGACAAAAGTAATTGCCTAATGACCTCACTGCACAAATCAAGAGCTCAGACTTCCATTTTTAACACTCCTACCATCACAAACACTCATGGCGTTCAAATAAGCATACCTGAGCCATTAGAGAGAATTATTCCATTGTCAATCGGTAGTTTTCTACAATCTGTTCGGGTTTCTGGGAATTCGGGTGAGCAAGTCCACAACTTTTTCCCTTGATTCCGGATGTATTTATTCATCAATTTTTTCCAACAGGGATTTTAAAAAGTGTTATAGATTATAACCCAAACCGGGTGAATCACAAAATTATAAACTTTGATTTGAAGCAACAACAACAAAAAACAAAGGTACAAGTGTAATAAACAGAGATTTAAGTTAAAGAATTACAATTAGCAATCTTTTACAACCCCATTTCCAGAAAAGTTTTTGAAAGACATTTTGTGAAATGCCATAAAATCAAGAATCTGTGATGTGTTAATTCTCTTGAACCTTTATTTAACTGAAAAAAATTTACATATAAAATATTTCCAATGTTTTCACTGACCAAATTAATTTTATTTTGTAAGTATAAACAAGTTTTGATTTTGATGGCTGCTACACACTCCAAAACAAAGCATCACCTTTCCTTTTAATTACACTTTTGAATCATTTGGGAATTGAGGATATTAAATGCCAATTTTTGCCTGATATAAGACATCAATCTGTGGTCATCGCTGTCCGATTCTCCTTTTCATGATATGCCACAGATTTTCAATAAGTGACAGATATGGACTGCAGGCAGTCAGGCGCATAACTTCTATGGTTTTAGCACATGCAGAATGAGGCCTGGCTTTGTCTAGCTTCCCAGGAATATGTCATCTTGATGGCAGTTTATGTCTCTGTACAATCCATATGCCTCCATGTCAATGGTACCTTCACACAAATGCAAGTCACCCATGCCATTTGCTTTTGCACCTGTCGCTAAAGAATGTTGGTCCCTCTCATCTTTGGGATTGAGAACTCTATGTCCATTTTTTCCATAAACAAGCTGAAACATGGACTCATCTGACTATATAGCACACTTCCTCTGCATTACGCAATCCATTAGTTTCAAACCAGATGTGCCACAGTGACATGTTTCTAATGCCATATGCCACTTAATGTTAAACCGCTACTACAGAGGAAGTGCACTTCAGAATCTCTCTAAAGTGTGTCATCGTTATTTGGTACAAAATGAAATCATTTCAAAACAAGCTTCCTTCAGTTAAACATCACTATAGTTTGATAGGACTGACGCACTCTGATGCTGAATTCTGAGCTGAACTTGCATGCAGTCTTTGATTATACTATTTCTGATGTCTGACATATAAAGCAAAACTAAAAGTAGTATGCTAGTACACAGCTCTGAATTCAGACTGTCGCTATGATTCAACACTTGTTTTGCTGTCATTGTGCTGCATTCTATTTGATTGTTTGGCATGTGGGCACTTTTATGCACACACACAAAAAACTGTACTCGATTTGTTCGCCAAGTGGAAAACTGTACTGATTTACAGTTGCCAGATATCGAGTACAACAAAAATCACCTCAATGCAATTGATGCCAAACTAATCAAATTAATAAAAGTAAATCATAACTGTATATTTCTTATGTTTTTCTCCAACAAAACAATTTGTGAAAAATCCCCCACATCTTTGACACACATTATCAAGCCATGTGTACAATCAGAGAATGATTTTCATTTACAGGTAGAAAAAAGGTCATACTTTTAAAGGGATACTCCACCCAAAAATGAAAATTCTGTCATCATTTACTCACCCTCAAGTTCTTTTGCTGAACACAAAGCAAGATATTTTGAAGAACGGTTGTTTGGCACCACTGATTTCCATAGTAGAAAAAATATGTAAGTCAATGGTGTCAAAGTTCCAATTGTTCTTCAAAATTTGTGTTCAGCAGAAGAAACAAACTCATACAGGTTTACAACAACTTGAGGGTGTGTAAAAGACGATAGAATATTCATTTTTGGGCGAACTATCCCTTTAAATCTACACCTGCCATGGTTTCCACTGCTCACTCCTGAACTGCACCAGACCAATAAAGATACCAGTCTGTTAACCCTTTTAGAGCAAAAGATTAAATTGATAACGAAATATAAAAACACCCTTTGATTTCAGGCCTATGCTCTCTTTTGAAAGGCAACACTTTTAACTTTCATGTCCTCAATTAAGAATAATCAAACAAAATACTAAGGTAACTGAAAAGGGAAGCTCTCATTGGAATGTGACTAATGTATTCTTTGCTGGAAGACTTTTAGGGAAGAATACATGGCAAGAGTCAAAGTCACAAACTTGGCATGTTCATGTTAAAATGTAAGGATGATACGACTAAGTAAAGAGGTGTTTAAAAAAGTGTTTTCTTAGAATAGCTCTGCGTGCCTTTTCATTAAAAATTCATTAGGGGTGTAAAGTGTACACAAACAATAACTGCAGTTAAGTGATTTGGTGGATCAGAATGCTAATAAATAGACCAAGATTTTTGTATTATTCGCCACATCTTTAGACATCTAAGTGCATGGGGACAACGGAGACAATGAGTCGTACGGTTTTATAATAGTGCAGTGAATCTGTTGAGCAGTTTGACTTGATTGTTTACACATAAGGGCATGTCTCTGCATGGTTTTCTTATTTAAAGTCCTGTCTAACACTTACTAATTCTTTGCCTTTTTACCCACGTCTGTGAAGTCATCTTGTATAAATACAGTAATCAGCCTGCTGCCCCTTAAGTAAATGATTTTTTTAAAAGGAACACCCAAAGTCATCTGAGAATAGGAAATTCCATGTTTTACTGTTCCAGTAATGAAGAACTGTATTTTTGTATTTAACTTAAAAGGACTTTATTTAGGCCTATGTGAAAAGAAGAAATATTTTATAATTATATATAATATTATATACTCAGCAAAGTGTTTTCTATAGTTGTAAATGAATATTTTAAGATTGCTGTGCAAATTCTACGGTTCCTCTCTCACTCTAACCGCATACAGACGTGCACATGCAACATAATTGCTCAATTCCTGAAAATATGTTGCACAACCATTTAGTCAAAATCAAGCTCCACAGTTTCAAATGTTTTTGACGAGGATCAAGTAACGGATATGAAACACCACTCTAGTTTCATTAGCATTAGAAACAAGAAGCTCTTGTTTCAACGTAAGCAACCGTTAAAATATAATGTAATGCGGACACTTCTGAATCTTCTAAATCTGAGGTGCAACAATAATGACAAAGACAAAATAAAAATAAGTAAATAATAATTGATGAAGGAGATAATGTTGTTGCACTGATGCATGTTATAAGAGTGTCACTTGAATTAATATATTACTTCAAACATCCATCAACTCCTTATATTTTGCTGTTGTAAATGATGTCAGTCTCCCAGTAACTTCCACAAAGTTACATTTGTTGTGTCTGAGACATTCAGTTCCTGCATATGTGTAATAGGAAAAAGAGATATTGCTGCTCTGTGGTAGACTGATTTTGTTGGTCACAAATCTGTAAGTATTGATATAATTTATGAATAATTTGTGATCAGTCATTGCTAAACCTAATAACTATAATATAATTATCAACTTAAAATTGTCTACTAATAATGTAATAGTCGTCTATATTCTGAAAAAAAGGTTTCATTAAACCTTTGAGTTTTGAGGTGAGTTCATTAAAACACTAGTTTTTTTTTCTACTGATAAAGTATGTTTATGAGTGATTTAATTCATAACATTTAATTAAAATGTTATGAATTAACACAGCCTGTGCATGAGGAGGTCACAAAGTCGTGGAAGGCACCTTTTTCTGCCCAAATGGTGTGGAAGATTTCTTTCACTGTGTCTGGTTGGTGTTCCCTGGGTGTCCACTAGAGGTCTCTTCCCCTTACTGTCACCACCACAATCACATTTATACCCTGTCTGTTTCATTCACTGTCATGGAATCACTTGCACTTTGGAGATCTTTTGCCTGTTTTGTTTCTTGTTTTGGACTGCCTTTGTATGATTTTGTCCCTTTGCCTGGATCACTTACGATTACGGATTACCCTATTAAATATACACTTGGATTTATCTTTTTATGTGCGTGTCGTGTATTTTTTACAGTCTATGGTCGTGACATTCCTCAGACCTGCAAAGTGCTGCCACCTGGTGGGATTGCCCGCACCTCCCATCCAGGACCTGTAAATTCTCGGCCGCTCTCTCTATAGCCAAAACTTACATGTCACTGCGTGATTCCTTGGGCAGAAGATGTGCAAACTTGTGGTCCAGGACTGAAATTTCTCAGCCTCTTCGGCGACGCTGTCGATAACATGTCTTTGCCCAGCAGTTCTTGGCAGTACTACAGAACTGTAAACAGAAGCAGAAGTGTTTAAATACGTGCAATTTACAATTTACGTGCATTTATTCACCCCATTCGTATGCTATGCATCACAGAACAGGATATGAGTGCCAATCCCGCTCCCCAGACGAGTTCCCCGGCTGGCAAACCCTGCTGGAGTTCATCCAGACCAGCACTCTACGGCAGTTTCACCTGTGAACCCATAAGTGTAATCTTCCACAATATGCTGTAATTTTCCACATGGCTTCCCTATCAGCGAGCCTGTGTTTTCCTTTGGCAGTGCCCACTCTGACACCTCTGCTTGGTATGGGCTATATGCACGCATAAGTTCCGCATTTGACGTAATGCTCGTCCATTTCCGGTTGTGTAGATTAAAGCGGAGGAAAACCGGAGAAAACGGGATTATGGCTGAGTCTTCAATATTTACTGTCCTCCCGTCTTTGAAACGAAACGTACATACGTTTAGATGTAATTTTATATATAGTTATGTTTATTTAATATAATTTTAAAAAGAAGCATAAACACAACGAGGGGTGTCTGTTTTATCTGTTTTTGTGACTAACGTTTCATTAGTATAACCATGGAGTATAAAATTCAATATAAATTCTCGGTATTGCATTGGACTCTATGATCGGCGGAAGTTATCGAGCATCCCTAATGCTTCACCGGAAATAACGCCGTGCATAGAGCCCATTGACTCCACCATAACAAGGCAGGATTTACCACTGATACCTTCCATAGGCTATGTAGCATTGCCAAGTGGTCAGTCAGTCAAACAGCCTGAAAAATAGTGCATTTAGCTGACGTAATAATTTTTTTGAAAAAAGAAATCTAAAAAATAAAATCTCCCCAGGGGAGTATGCCACCGGACCCCCTAGGTTTGGGCTAAGCCCCTAATGTTTACATCGCCTGGCTCCATCCCTGGTGAGTCCATATGTGTAATGTTACCTCCCTGCGGGCAGGGTGTGGCCCCCGTAGTGTCCCTTTCAATTTGGAAATTGTCCGAAATTTTCCGGACTATCTGTTCCATCAGTTTTTGCGCTGCAACATATTCATGAGTCATAACAGCTGTTATCTTTTCCATGCTGGGAAATTATCATGACCACCTGACATGAATATGCTTAGTAAAAAGATCACATCATTTTGACCGTAAATTAATGTAAATACAGATAACGGATAGGCTACCAGTTCTGTCTAAAATTACTGTAAACAGGCGAGCCAAAAAAAAATCGGATTTGGCCAAAAAGGTCGGATCTGTGCATTAAGCCTTGCGGTGTAAATGCAGCCCTACAGGATGAGAAACAGGCCGTCAGGCGAAGAAGCTTGAACACTTGAGCATCCTGTCTCGCGCATCACTTTCATTGGCCTCAGTTAGTTTAGCACCCGACCGTTGGCTGATCATATGCATGCATTCGGACAATATAACACTAGAAACCAGATATGATCACACCTACTGTTCCAAAGGATGTGATCTTTTATTTTATTTTATTTTTTATTATTATGTATTTATTTATTTTACATCGGTTCCTCATTTTGGGAGTATAATTTAATTTTTGGAATATTTAATTCTGTTGTGAGCAGATGCTGCATTTTTTTGTTAAAAAATAGAGATCATAGCCTATATACAGCCTACACTGTTATAGTAAAAATCTGGCTGCTATGCTTAACTCTTTTGTATTTATTGGGCCTAGGATGTGGTTAACATTCTGAGAATGTGTCAACACACACCTACTATGAAAAATAGGTTGTGCACTAATTCCAGTAAATGTGGCACTGGCTTAACCAGATGATTCAAAAGATTCATTTTATAAAGTCAAAAGACATCAATCACCTACACTGTCAGGAAAAAAAGGGTATCCTACAGTTGGGGTACATTTGTGAACACTATATGTGAAGTTGTACCCTCAATGGGTCATATTAGTACCCAAAGGTGTAACTATTTAACAATAAAAGCTGATTAGGTTCTGGATCCACAGTGATCTCCATTGAATTCCAGTGAACACAATTGTCAATCAACCAAAATAGATTAAACATAGCAAGATATCCATGTTCATGAGTTGTTGGTTATTTAAAAGAGATGCACAAAATAACCAGACATATTTAATAGCCCACATCTTTACTGTCACTGGTTCTAACAGTATAAGCACATGACTTTTTATTATGCAGAGCATCAAGTTAATACGTTTAAAACAAAGCAAATGTAATGAAGAAGGCCTGGATTTCATCTGACGGCACTTTTTATTTAACACTAAAAAGGTAAATAAGCAGGGCTATGACGCTGTGAAGGCACGAGCGCCCTTCATTGGACGTGACGTCACGTCAGGCTCAGCGGTAGACTCAACGGCTCCGGGTAGACTCATAGACTGTAAAAAATAGGGTAGACTGCTGCAGTTTCCCCAGGGCAGCCTACGAGCACGCTAGACAAAGCACGATAGCAAAGTTGTGTGGTTTGAACGACAGCTCTCGACCTGTGGTTAGAAGCATCGTTTCGATATTGCATGACATTTGGAGGTAATAAATCCTTATCTTGAGCAAAATAAGCAAGCTGACATTTGTCAAGCTGACATTCAGACATTCAGTGTCTTTTATTTAGAA